ACACCAGGGGAATCAATACAGTAGTTGTCCTTTTGTGACTGGCTTATTTCACTGAATGCAATGTTCTCGTGGCTCATCCACATTGCAGCACGTATCAGGTTTCTTTCCTTTTTAAGGCTGAATAATATTCCATTGTACGTATATGTATCCACCATATTTTGTTTATCCAGCGATGGACACTTGGGTTGTGCACACCCCGTGATGACTGTGAAAAATGCTGCTATGAACCTGGGTGGACATATATCTCCTCCAGTCCCTGCTTTCAATTTCAAGCTTGGATTTTTACAATTTGTGGGAGAAAGTTGTATTTTAAATTCCTCTTACCATCTGGCATTTAATTTGTTTGTTTGATGTGTTTAAGTGACCGGTAAGGGGACAATGATAATGCTTTTCCTGATAAAATACTAACATGAATGGTCTTGACCTATTCATAATAGCTAAGCTTCCGTTTCATTTCAGGTGAGTCCCTTCACGTGCAACACTACTCACATGACTACTGGAAAGTTATTTCGATTGGAGGGATTTGAAATAGCAACGTTGTTTTAGGCTTTGGATGCTGGGTGAGGATGGGGAGAACTGAACCTGGTCAAGTTCATGGGAAAGGGCCTGGTTTCTCTTCAGCAAAAGTCTTCCTCTTTGAGGCCTGAGAACTGTTACTCGCTCACGTTTGATTTTCCCCGTGCACCCCCGTACGATGGCACTTCTTCCCTCTTTCCTGGAGGGTTACATAATTATGCAGCTCGACATCGTGGGCCTTTTCCCCCCAGACAGTACTTTCTGGAACTGCTAGATTTCCAGATGAGAACTGTTTATTCTGGATCAGACTTAAGTTGGTCATCTGAATTCTCGTGGGTATGGAGAGTTTTTCTTACCCTTGGCCTACTTTTTGTGCTGCTAAATATCCTCTTACAGTTCCACCAAGCACTTTGTAAGACAGAAAGAGTTGAAAGCACTGCTTCTTTTGCTTTCTCAGTTCCTCTGGCTGTTTCAGTGCGTCAGTTACATGGTGCTTCTCTGGTAAGCCACAACCACAGAGGAAGGAAAGGAAGGTTTTGTTCATGTCACAATGCAAGTCAAGTGCCTACTATGTGCCGTGCTCCAGGCCTCATGGTTCATTACAAAACCGGAACAGTAAGGATGGTGATAGAAATACATCCAGGGCTCAGTTGGGGGAAAAAAAGCACTGAAGGCCTGAGGGCTCTAATTCCCATGCAGTGTGCTTGTATTCTGTGTCCTGGCACAGTTCAGAAGCAGAAAATCACCATTGTGTTATTGACCTCATCTATCAACTCATTTTTCCATGTTCCCATAGCAACGTGGGAGAAACTGAGAAAAGATATAGGAAAGAGGAAGAAAAAACGCAGGGGAAGCAAGCTGGCCTCCTGCTTCCTCTGTATACTTCAGTAGATCCTGCATTTTCCTCTTCTCCTCGTTATCCCAGTTTCCACAGTGATTGTTCCGATAGCTGTCAAGTGTGACCATGAACATCGCACTCACTAGTATAACACTGAAGCATCATAACTCAGTCCTCCTCTGTTGGTTGTTCCCAGTTTTTCATTTTTCACTATAATGAAAAATGCTATGACAAAGAACTCCATGCACATGGCTTTTTTCTTTTTTTTTTTTTTTTTGCCTTTTGGATTATTTCCTTGATATTAACTCTTAGGAATGGAATGCCAAGCAGGCTTGGGGAGGGGGATTAAGTCCGTTTACATTGAGTTGGACGCTCTCCTGATGAAGGTACAGGGTCATAAAAATGTTCATGCCTGCGTTTTCGACACTCCTTAAAAGTACATCTCGTTGAAAGCAATGAAATAAGCATTAGCTTAACATTCACACACACTCAAAAAAGAACTCCGCTGGAGTGTGCAGGAACTCGATACAGTACAGGAAGCACTGTGTCGTGGAGACCTAAATAAGGAAGGAATAAACAGTCAAGTACTGGGGAAGGCATCCTCTTCAGTCACATCATCCGGGAGGATTTCGCTGGAGTAGCTTTCCACCTAAGAGAGGATTTGAAAACCACCGATCTACCTCCTTTCTTTTATTCAGAACATAGGCCCAGAGAAGTCTTTTTTTAACATGCCCAAGGTCACATAACAGGCTAGGACTGTATTCTGCCTTCAGCTTTTGGGGTTCTCTGTACAGACATCCTCTCCTAGTAAGTAAGGGAAACTGAGGTAGCGATTGGAACCCAAGGGAGGAGGCCCTGAGGGAGGTGGCCCACGTGCTTCCTTGGGCCTTTCCTCTCTCCTCTTCCCATCTCTCTCCCAGCCTAGAGGGATGAGAAACACCATCTTAAATCGGGTGGTGGAGCCTTCATTTTATTGTTTTCCTTTATACCCTACACATTGGATAAAAATTCATTTGAATCTCTTCAGTTGTTAATTTATAAAGAATTAAAAATTGTTGAAAGCAAATGTGTATTCAAAGCTAACTGCGTATCAGATACACTGCCGGTGCGTGTGCTTAGAAAATTCACACTTTCCTTTTATATCCAATTATGCTGTTCATTTCTGGTCCCCCCTCCTCAAACCCTAGGAATTCACACCATTTTCTTCATTTTCCTTTCACCTGTCTGTGGATTGTGACCTTTCACCTTCCAGTTACATATATCTTCTCCCTTCTCCCAAAGTCACAAATCAGAACTGTCCATGCATCCAATGTTTACTAAGGGCTTACTACGTCCCAGGCACTGTTCTAGTCCCTGAAGACACAGGAGTGAATAAATCAGAAAGAAATCCCTCCTCACTTTCTATGGGAGAAGATGGACAATAAACAAATATGAACACAAATAAATGCATCGACAACACATTCGTCATCTAAACCCACTGCACCCATGGGAAACCCAAGGTTCAGAGGTGGTGAGTAATAAGCAAGTGTGGGTGCTGGATTTCAAACCCAGGCCTGTCTACATCCAATTTATGAGATCCTAACTTGTAAGCTACAAAGCCCTGAGCAAAAGCAAAGACTGATGCTGATTACTGTTGCCAAAGTCTAGCAAAATGAAAATGCAGGCACTTTTTTTTGGTAATTTTCACTTGTCAGAGACACCAGCCTTTTTGGGTTTGCAGTTTTCTTGAAAGATGTGCCTGAAAAATGGAAACCATATTCCTTCCATTGACCATGCCTACCTAACTCCAGAAACAAATTACAGTTTGAAATGGTTGGGGTTTTTATTATTAAAAATTTTAAAAATGTGTCTTATGTGTACAATTTGATTTTAACTATGTATATACTTATGAAACCACATAGATCAAGTGAAATAGTTGATTTTAATCAACACTATGCTTGGCCTTGATATCTGTCACAGCTTGAAAGTAGATAAAGTATCTTTTGGTCCCCAAAGAAAACAACTTGATGTTTCTGTTCGAAATGCTTTGTTTTGTGAAGTTGATATAAAGGCAGTTGCACTTTCCAAAACTTTCCAGCTTACTTGATGGAAAGTATTTCATACTCCTGACCCTGGGAAGGCAGCTACCTCATCCAACAGAAGTCCTCAACATACAGATGACCCCTTACAGGTACTTCTTTTCCTTCCTGTATCGGCAGGGATTTCCCCCCTCCTCACTCTTTCCTTAATCCTTGTATTCTCACCAAGAGTGATCTCCGGTGGTTTCTATACTTCTCAGGTTCCTTCTGGCTTTAGCATCCCCAAAGACTGTTCTCTTCCTTCTTTCTCCTCTGTCATCACTCCATAACCGTTCCTAGGCCTATACTCACTGACCTGCTCTTCTGCATCACAGGCCACAGGCCCCCCCTAGGGTGGACTGAAAATCTGCTCTTATCTTTACTGTCTCTACTCAAAATCTTAACCATCTTCACTCAAGGAGCAGTGTGAATGCCACCTCCTACAGGAAGCCTTCTCTGATTGTCCTAGCTGAAAGGACTGCCATGGCACTTTACTGGACCTCTCAAGACACTCATCACATTTTTCACTATCAAATTTTTTTTATCAGATCTCCTCTTGTCTCCTGGAGCCCCGACAGCACCTCACCCACAGCAAGTAGTTTTGTGACTGAAACTTGACTTACTCCTGCTGGGGCTATGCAGACAGGAGCTATGTTTTCAGCTGTCAAGCTGTAAGTTACATTCTTCTGCCTGTTGTGCGGAGCATTTCAGTTCTCTAGCACCTTCTACTATACTTCAGTACATACTCTGGCTTTCTGACATGCAGGCTTTTATGAGCTGAGACACAGCTCCCATAAACAACATTGTCCATTTAGGAAACCCATTCTGCATTCCCTAAGAATTGTATCAGAAACCTTGGAAATACAATCTGCTCTTCAAGGGAGAATAGTCACAGAATTTAACCTGATAATTTAAAAGGAAACAAAAAAAACGTTTTCCAACCAGTAGTAGTGACTAGTATCCTTCATTTCCAAGGAGACCCAAGAGGAAAAATTCTAAGTATTCATTAAGCCCAGATGCTCAAAGGAGTGGAATTAATGGCACACAAAATAAAAATGTTTTAAACTTCGAGTCTCAAAATGTAGGATCTATCACTAATAGAAAAACACACTTTAAAAGTTGTAAAATATAAGATTTTAAAATTTCAGGGACTTCCCTGGTGACACAGCGGTTAAGAATCTGCCGGCCAATGCAGGGGACACGGGTTCGAGCCCTGGTCCAGGAAGATCCCACATGCTGCAGAGAAACTAAGCCCGTGGGCCACAACGACTGAACCTGCGTTCTAGAATCCACGAGCCACAACTACTGAACCTGCACGCCACAACTACTGAAGCCCACGTGCCTAGAGCCCGTGCTCTGCAACAAGAGAAGCCACCACAATGAGAAGCCTGCGCACCACAATGAAGAGTAGCCCCCGCTCGCCGCAACTAGAGAAAGCCCGCGCGCAGCAACAAAGACCCAACGCAGCCAAAAATAATTTATATGTATTAAAAAAAGATTTTAACATTTCAGTCCTTATGCTTTTAAATGACCATAAAGTGGGTAACACACAAAAAATACTCATTTATCTTCATCTGTTAAAACCTTACCTGGAATTTCCATTTCTAAGGCATTTAGTGGGAGTGAATGATCTATCGAGGGCACTGAGGCTTTGGCGTTTCATGGATGATCTTGTACAAAGAACCAATTCAGGATTCCTGCAGCTGAAGACGGTGCAGCGTAACTTCTGTCTCCGTGGTTTCTAGGAAGTGCTGCTGACTGACTGTTTTCTAGGGCAGAGCCAGGGGGCAGGTGGAAAGGCTACTTTTCAGATTCTCTTCTGTCCTACTTTGGGCTAATCATTCCTCAGTGCACATGGCTCATCTGGTAACGCTGATCAGAATAAAAATTCCATGGATTAGATCGAATATAAATGAAAGTCCGGATGTTAACTGCAGATGGACTTTTAGAACATACGAAGCATTCCCTTCCTGCTTGTAAACTTTAGGAAGAAACAGTGAGTTTCGCCCAGGTTTATCAACATGGTGGTGGCGGCACGGGTCTCTTGGGTCTCCCCTTTGCCAAAAAGAGTAACCTCAGCAGATGCTTAAGTGTCCTCCGGGCTCTCCCGGCACCGCCCACAATCACTTTAGAGCCGCTCCTCGTTCACAAGCCCCCACCCCCCCACCCCCGCTAGTCTAACGGCTGGAGAAATCAAAGGAAAACAGTTCTTAGGGTGACATCAGGGTGACTGGTTTTTGACTGAGGGCTGGGTCCATAGGAGTTTTGTTCTGGGGCCCATTGTTTGGGGCAAATGGGATTTAAAGTTGGTACAAAGCTAAGAGATTGGGCCCTTGAGGAAAAGGAAGGCGGTGATGGCTGAGTTCAGAGAGACATCACTAGAGCTAATGGCCATGCAAATGCAGTGGTGCCCAACCCAGAATGAACTTTCTCAAATGCAGCACCCAACCTGCCACTTGCCCTTGGAGAGCCCTTTAAGGTTCTCCCCTGCCCTTTTAGATCAAGTCCACCCCCCCTCTGCCAGGCTGACAGGTATCTCTTTTTCCAAACCTGGCCTTATCTTACAGCCTCATCTCTTGCCCATCCCCCCTTGCCATTTAGGTTCCAGTCACACCAAAGAACATTCACTGCTTCCCAGTCTTTGCCTATGTTGTTCTCCTAGGTCCTGGAGCCCTTTGTATCTAAACCCACCTCACTCCTAAAACTATCACTTAGCCTTCAGGGGAAGAAACATCTACTCACCCCTGCCAAAAAGGAGCTGGCCACCTGCTCAAACACACTGGGCTGACCTTTGACCCAGCCTCTTTACCCACTATGGTAACCATCCATTCTCCCCCTGCTATGTGGGTGGCATGTACTGTGTGTGTACACAGTAGGCACTCAAATACTTGATGGGAAGAAGGTAGGGTTTAAAATGCAGTGTGAGGGACATGGGTTAGTTCTGAAAGTGACTTCCCAGGGCAAGTAGCCAAAGATGTGCACATCTTGGATCTCTGGAGGCCAGTGTGAGTCTCTGCTTCGGTGCTAAAAGTCCTTAGGGCTTGTGGCTGCCCAGGACAGTTCCGGACACACCGGACATTTATGTGATTGCTAGACTTGGAGAACATCAGCCCTTCAAAGTAAAAAAAAATTGGGTTCCCTCCTCTGTCTTCAAAAACTCATGCTGAGGCAAAGTTTTGCACAGGACCTGTAACAAAATGAGAAAAATAGGGACAAATTAAACTCATACAACACAAAGAGTTACTAATTTGATTTAAAGGATTCTCCTTTACTCTGACCCTATGCTCTTCCCATGTTTTGGTATTAAAACGTCTTTGTAAAAAGTGACAGTGATAAGAGAAAGACAAATATCATATGATATGGTTTATATATGGAATCTAAAAAACTGATACAAATGAACTTATTTACAAAACAGAAATAGACTCACAGACATAGAAAACAAACTTAGGTTACCGAAGGGGAAAGGGGAAAGGGGACAGGGGTGGGATAAATTAGGAGTTTGGGATTAAAATATACACACTACTATATATAAAATAGACAACCAACAAGAACCTATTGTATAGCACAGGGAACTCTACTCAGTATCTTGTAATAACCTATAATGGAAAATAATCTAAAAAGCAGTGCGTGTATATATATATTATATATATATATAATATACATACATAAAACTGAATCGCTTTGCTGTACACCTAGAACACAACATTGTAAATCAACTATATTTCAATAAAAGGTTTTTAAAAACCAATAAATAAATAATATATAAATAGAGTCCTTACTTGGCCAAATAAGAAGTGCCAAAACTTTCTAGCCATATCGGGGAGGGGAGGGCGGAGTGGGGACTGGGAAAGAAATCTCAGGTGAAGAAAGCCCTAAATGTGAAGGGCAAAACTGAAAAACTCCTAGAAGATTACAGAGAATATCCTTATGACCTTGAGGTAGAGAAAAGTTTCTTAAATAAAACACAAAAAGGTATGATTTCCTCTAATCATAAGAGGAAAGATAAATTTGACTACATTAAGAACTCTATGCATCAAGAGACCATAAAGAATGAAGGTAAGTCACGGAATGAGTATCTGCAACACACATAACTGACAAAGAAATAGTATCCAGAAATCCATCTATCTATCTATAGATTGAGGTATACACACATACATACACACTCGTAAAATTAAAACGCAAGCAAATAAGAAACAGATAACCTAACAGAAAAATGGGTAAAAGACGAATAGGCATTTCACAAAAGTAGAAATCTAAATAGTCAATAAGTAAATTAAAAAGTACTCAATTTTATTTGTACACAGGGAAATGCAAATTAAAACCCACAAGGAGATACCATCTTACACCCATCAAATCAGCAGAAATTTAAATTCCTGGTGATACCAAAGCATGGGAGACAATGTGGAACAATGTTGTTCTCATTCCCTGCTGGTGGGAGGGTAAAATGGTATCATCCCTTTGAAAAACAGGTTGGCATTAACTAAAAAGTTTGAAGAGATACATATTCCCATGACCCAGCAGTTTCATTCCCACATTTATACCCTAGAGAAAACATGCACAGGTGCACTGGGAGATGCATACTAGAAGGGTCAGAGCAGCACTGCTCTTCACATTAGCTTCAAACCAGAAACAGCCAACGCCCACCCATAGCAGACTGGATAAACTGTGGTGCAGTCGTACAGTGCAACAGCTTATAAAGCAGTGAAAGAGAATGATCTCCTAAAACCAAAATTAAGCGGAAAAAGACAATACGAATGGTGTGATACCGTTTATACAAATTCAAAAACAGACAAAAAATAACAATGCTGTTTGGGAAACATACACAGGAAGGAGGAGGTCGAATTATAAGAAAACGATTATCTCAAAAATCAGAAAACCAAACACATCTGGAGAAGGAAGAATTATGATCTGGGAGAGACACAAGGGGCAGCGCATTTTAGGTGCGGGCAATATGCTATTTCTTGCCTGGGGACTAGTTGTGTGATTGGTTAAGCTTAATGTATACATTTCTTTTCTGTATGTTTATTTTGCACTTAAGTTGCCCGTCCCTTTCTTAAAGTTTTACTGGTTGAAAATCTCCAAGACAGAAGCACCTATTTGCGTGGTGCTCAATCAAAGCTGTGTCCAAGTATTTTAGAAAGAACTCCGAGTAACCCCAGGGGAGACTTTGAAGAGCAAGAGAGGCTGGAGCTGACCTTCAGTTAAGTGTCTATCAGGGGTTCTCTCAATAATGCTTCTCCAACTAGAGGGGTGGGAAAACATGACCACAGCAAAGGTGTCACTTAGCCAGGGAGCTTGTGGAGGCCAGGGTGTCAGGAGAGAAGTTTGGGATGTTACTGTGTGGTGGACCCTGAGTGCCTGATTCAGGAATCTGGATTTAATTCTGTAGACAGTAAGTAGACTTGGAGGATTACCATGCAGCAAAGGGACAATTAAAAATACCCTAATGGGGCTTCCCTGGTGGCGCAGTGGTTGAGAATCTGCCTGCCAATGCAGGGGACATGGGTTCGAGACCTGGTCTGGGAAGATCCCACATGCCGCGGAGCAACTAGGCCCGTGAGCCACAACTACTGAGCCTGCGCATCTGGAGCTTGTGCTCCACAAGAAGAGAGGCCGCGATAGTGAGAGGCCCGCGCACCGTGATGAACAGTGGCCCCCGCTCGCCGCAACTAGAGAAAGCCCTCGCACAGAAACGAAGACCCAACACAGCCAAAAATAAGTTAATTAATTAAAAAAAAAAAAGTAACAAATGTTCAAGTACAATTGGTGTCTTAAAATAAACAAAAAACCCTAATGTCTTAGGGAGATGATTCTGGGTGTGAGGGGTAGGGTGGACTGAAAGTAGAGAAACTGATAAAGGCTCAGGCATAATAGACCAGGAATGACGGAAGTGAAGTTAGAAAGCGATGGAATGAAGACGAGTTACTGAGGAAGAACAGTAGGAACTTAGTGATGGAACAAACTTTTTCAAAAACTTATTTTCTGTTCTTTCCCAGCCCTTCCATTCTAAAGCTAACTCGAGAGAGATTCTGCTTTACAAGGACAAGTGACTGGAACCACGTTAAGGTCAGAAGAGGACTAGCAGACATACTGATTTGATGCCGAGAGCCCAAGTGAAGGCTTCAAAATTCCCTGCAACTACTTGAGAGTATTGCCAGGGTCGGGGGCCGGGGGGCGGGCAGGGAGGACACAGAGGGTGGAGCCTTTTCAGCAGCACCAGAGTTGTTTAATGGCGAGCAAGGAGTTTTTAACTTTTCATTATGGAAATTCTCAAACATACATTGACACCAGAATAGTCTAGCAAATCTCCTGGCTTCAACAATGATCAGTATGTTATCAAGTGGCTTTCGCCATTTTCCCACCCTCCACATCAATGTGTCCCAGGAGGGAAGTCAGGTCTGGTTAAGGATAAAACATACACATTTAGAAACATTTGAATCTTAGTTTTTGTGTTAGGCTGGGATGTCAGTGGTTCCAAAACAGGTATACATGGGATCAAGAGCAAAGAGCACAACCATCTGGCTTTCCTGCCCCAGACACTCCCCGGCCTCTGAATCCACAGCCATACAAAGTGTGTTACCTGCGCTGGATGACTAGACCTTAGCTGCCTCGACTGGAGTTGGCTGTCGGTCACGCGACTGGAAGCTCCGCTGGGGATTTGTCGATTGTGAACTTGGACAGATCAGTCCTGCTGCAGAGCGGTTCCCTAAGCCTGTGATTACCACAGGAGGAGATGAGCCCTTCACAAAGTGTGGTTCCTTGGAAGAAACTGCCTCTATAATCCTGCTCTTTCCAGATGTTGCCAGGTTTGATCATTGCAACTCCCATTCTATCAGAATGAAGAGAAGGCAGCTCTGACCTGGGAGACAATGGGGGACCATCCCCTCACCACGGCAGAGCCTGAAGTGCAGCTGGAACAGGTCCTCGGAAAAGGGAGATGTTGGCGGTGTCGAGCTCTACTGCCCGAGTCACCTTGTCAGCTCCAGGCAGCAACAGTCCACGTTGTAAGAACACTGGTACCTTAAATTTAACCCTGTACTCAAGGCAGCGCACATTCCTGGGAACAAAGAAATTTGTCTCCTTCTTCTGTGAAGCTGTTTTGCAAAACAGCTATAAGGAAACCATGGTACATGGAAATACATATGTGAAAATGTGCTAGGAGTCCTCAGTGGAAATGTCAAGGTTATTCTGAAGCTCACCAGTACGGATGGAAAAATGGGTTGCTTGGGGCAATATCCTAGTCCCCTGGGGATTTCTGTCCGTGAGCATGTGACAAGATGTTACTGCACGACCAAACTCCGTTTGGTGGTACTTTGTGCAGCCCCAGGCACTAAACATTCTTGCTGCGAGGGTCACCACCTCACAAACTGAAGCACCACAAGTATTTTCAAAATGAGAGAGTAAAAAAAAAAAAACGAGCAATGAGTCCTTTAGTTCCGCTGGTTTCCTAATAAACGAAGCTGGCCCTTCTCTCCAACTGTGAAGCAGGCCAGAAACCACACTGACAACATGAAGGGTACTTCTAGAAAAACAGGCCAAGTCCACTGTATGCAGGAGAAACAGGATAATTTTATTCTCATTTTTCCTTAAAATAAAGATACAGTAGAAGTTTTACAATTCAGTATGATTGGACGTGATTTATAATTTTAACATTTTTAAAAAAACAAATGACAACAGAAACAAAAGACTACTACAAATTATAAAACTACTAGAGCAAAGAGAAACTATCTTTCTAATCAAAACATGTACCACAGCTCTAAACTTCCTAAGAAAACTTTCTAAGATTTCTAAGCTAAACTTTCTTAGAATGGGGTTTGTGAAAAACCTTTAATCTCAAGTATTTAAACTATTCCTGTACCCACTAAATGCTTTCACCAACTTGTTAATCATATGCTTCCTAAATTTAGGAACCAGTGATCAAGTGGCCTGAAACAAGTCTTGATCCTATAATTCCAGCTATAAATTACTAATATTTAAAGAAAACAATATATTTTCTAAGCATGTAAGTTTTCTAAAAACTTCAATTACCTTTTCTGGCTCAGTACCTCACTGAAATGTTCAAATATTCATATTGCACACAAAAAAATTTGAGCAGCATACTATATGAGTGTGAGAAGCCGATGAAAAATAAGATTGAGGAAAATCCCTAAGTTGTGTCCCATTTAACATGATTTAAATATATAGTTTCTATATCTTTAATTAATATAAGTAAAAAGGTAATCTTTAGAACAGCACAGAGATACAAATGCATTAGCGTTTTACAAAATATATTCAACCCCTTATACGTCCAACAATCTTTTAGTTTTGGAGCTGCCACACAAGGGAGCTAGTTTCTTCTCCTTCATATGAAAGCAGGAAGTCATGTGTACAAAGTTATTTATATGAGAAGAATAAAGATCCACATTCCTTTTCTTTGTCCTTGACAAATATTTATGGAATGTTGGAAGTGATGAGAAAACAATTCCAATGTTATGAAGTCCAAAGACTTGGAATGAAAAAACTCGTAGTGGCACGCTGAGCTACACAGCATGACAATCATCTTCTAGAAACTAGGGTTGCGTTCTCTGTCGTGTTTAGAGGCTACCACAGAACTGGGTGGAAAGGCCATGAATGACGTGCCACCTCTGGTCAAACAATCAGAGCATGCAAATGTCAATGCCATCTCAAGAGTCCTAACCAACTCCCTGATAAAATGACAGGCAACACTAACCGGCTACCAGCCTGACAGGCTACTTTCCCAAACTGCTGAAGCAGATAAAAGTTCAAGGGGTTCAGGATAAGTCCACTGGCCCCTCACAGGGCTGGGCGCTCCTAAACTCATCACCAGCCCTCAGGGAAAAGGACCATTGACTCTAACTTCCACAAAACAAATTAAAAAAAAAAACTGCCTGCCAGGGAGATAAAGTTAAAGCCTCATTTTAAAACTCGTGGGCTTCCCTGGTGGGCAGTGGTTGAGAGTCCGCCTGCCGATGCAGGGGACACGGGTTCGTGCCCCGGTCCGGGAAGATCCCACATGCCGCGGAGTGGCTGGGCCCGTGAGCCATGGCCGCTGAGCCTGCGCGTCCGGAGCCTGTGCTCCGCAACGGGAGACGCCACAACAGTGAGAGGCCTGCGTACACCACCACCACCACCACCACCACCACCACCACCACCACCAACAAAAAACTCGTAATTAGCAGATGAAAAATTTAAGTTCTTCATAAAAGAATTATTATAACCTTTAGCATATTAAATACTGCTCTCGGGCTTCCTTGGTGGCACAGTGGTTAAGAATCAGCCTGCCAGTGCAGGGGACATGGGCTTGAGCCCACATGCCGCAGAGCAACTAAGCCTGTGCGCCACAACTACTGAGCCTGTGAGCCGCAACTACTGAGCCCACATGCCACAACTACTGAAGCCCGTGCTCCTAGAGCCCATGCTCTGCAACAAGAGAAGCCACCACAATGAGAAGCCCGCACACTGCAATGAAGAGTAGCCCCCGCTCGCCTCAACTAGAGAAAGCCTGCGCGCAGCTACAAAGACCCAACACAGCCAAAAATAAATAAATTTATACCAAAAGAAAAAAAGATACTGCTCTCAACGTACTTTCATTCAGATTTTAAAGGACCTTGTCTCTTGGGTTTGCAACTTCTCACCTCTCCCTTCCTAATTTGTTTTCTCCTTGCCTTTCTAAGTAAATTATTCTAAAAACAACAACAACAAAAAAAAACAATGCTTAATATAGGACTTGGAAAGCAAGATAAGGTTGACGAAATCACGCCATATGCTCTGGTTTGCTGCCCAAAGATACAGCTGCTGTGTTTCTTAAAGCAAAAAGTAGAAGAAAATTGTATTTTAGGGCCTGGGGGCTAGTAAATCACTAAAAGATTTGGGGATAGACTACTCATACTGGTTATATGAGCCAAATGCAGATGTAAAATAACCCTAAGCCATACTGTCACAGGCAACTTTTCCTATTCACTTAACTCAGGACACTTGGGTCAGCTTCAACCCTCTTTCCTTTACCTATGTCATCGTCATTACAGTGCCTAGTAGGAATTAAAGCACACCAGGGACATTTTCCAAACACTCTTTTTAAGTCACCTGGACAGGAGCGAGGTCTCCACCAAGCTATGGAGGCAGTCTGTGTTGCCTGGCACACTCTGAAAAAGCCTGGCTGACCCTAGCTCCCTCGGGCCTACATAAACGCACTCAGTCCTCAGACAAAAACACTGTGGCCAAGCAAAGCACACACCTTTTCCAGTGAGTTGTCCTAAGACAGCCACACCAGTGTTGGCTCCACTCACAGAGCCAGTGGCTAGAGGAGGCTACTGCTTCCAGGCTGGACGCTGGGCTGGAGCCAGGAACCCAAACTTGAAGCACGTAGGCTCCCGGGACCAGGGGCCAGGCTTCCTGCCTGCAACTGTGCTGGCCGCCCCAGGGCCCCCCAGCAGCAACGTAATAGCCTGCACTCCCTGAAGATGCCCATACCTTCTAGAACCTGAAGGAAATAGAGTTATGGTCTTTTGACCATTTCTATGACAAAAGTTCTATCTTCTGAAATACTCACTTTATGTTGAAAGCCAGTTAAATGACCACTGTAAATAAGAGTTGAACTCTTAACCAGAAACATGAATAGAAAGTTCCATTAAGGTGTATATAAAATAGGGAGTGATACTAAAGCAAAGTTAAACTTTATGTAACTTGTTTTATTTATTTCAGTGGGATTCCAAAGTGGATTGGACTTCTTGGAATAGTGAGAGATGAGAATTCACCCCAATCATACAAGCCATACAAACGAAAGGAGGAACCAGCAGCGTGCTGGCTGACCCCTCACAGCACTCTTAGCGCCGTGAACAGCCTGGCGGTGGAGAGTAGCAACTGTGTACCGATACAGTATCACACTCTACTCAACAATGCGGCCTCACGAAAAAATAAGATGTTAGTCTCAGTGCAACTTTAAAGTACCTTTTAAAGTTTTGTTTGGTACTACTTTCTTTTCTTCAAATAGTATTTCCTGAGAAAGCAAACTTTCCTAGCAGAAGTGGAATTAATACAGTTCTCACAATAAGCCCTTTACCTTGAGTTATTATACTCAAAGGGAAGTACGCTTTTAGGTGTGCAGGACTTGTGTTAAAACACAAATTGGAAATTTTAGGGATATTTAGATTATGTCCCTATGTTTCTTTTTACATGCCCTAGTAGTGCTTTTTATACAAACATTTCTTAAAGGGTAAATCAAATATAATCAAGCGTCCTCCCTAATTAGGTCCCCAATTTTCTCAATACTCTTTATATCAAATGTAGATTATACTCATGATGTATTTTCCAAGTATCTGAAAAAGCAGTCTGTCGCCTGTAAGTACTCCCTGAGAACACCCAGCCAAAGTCCCCTTGAAAAGCAAATGAGAGCTGAGCCTGGCAGCCACATGAGGTCTAGTTGTGTAAAAATATTCAGTAGTGAGCACACCTGTGTCTAAAATGAACCCAGGTGTCCTTCATGAAACATGACTGATGTCATGGCTGCAGTTTTCTTCTCTTGCTTTTCTAAATGTGAGCCAAGATGAGATTTCTGTTTAATATTTACAGATCATCTTGCTTTTGGAAGGGGGTAGAGATTGATTACATGAGGATTTTCTATCAGGGAAGTAGGAAGGCCAAGCGCCCTGAAAAGCTTTATGAAGATTAAGACTAAGAAAAAACCTGTAAGTCTGTAAACACCCAATGGAAAACTGTTCAAAAGAAGAAATAGAAGGCACAAACGCTGGGTTAAAAAATGCATGTAAAGATTGCAACATTACTACAGTCAATAGAACTAACACCTAGATCTTTAAAAGTCTTGCCCTAAATACACACTCAGTTAAACTGCTTGAACACCGCTATAACCGTCACCATGCTGTTTCTTTGCACATCTACTCGCACAATTAGAAAAAGGAAGAAAGCACAGTGACCCTCCTTGACACCTCAAAGCAAGTGCTTAGGATTGGGAAAGAATAAATTAAAAGCACAAAACAAAACACTCCATCCTCAGAACTACCACCTCTGACTTCCACGGTTTCTAGGAGGAAGTGAAGTGATAAATGTGTTTTGTAGGTAGAAAACCAACAAACAAAAAATCCTCATATAACTCAGCAAGATAATAATGAAGGGCTGGATTATATGCCCCCTTACTGTTAAATGTAAGCACATTTTAGGGCCCACTTTAGAGAAATTAAAATAGTAATATAACTTAATCTTAGCACATATAAATAGCCATCTGGATATTCAAACAGCAACAACAGAACAAAATTTACACCAAGTAAAAACTTTTCTAAAGTAAACAAATGTATAATATCAGAACTCAGAATTCATTAGAACGTTCACTGTGTTTCAATCAGGCTCAGACTGAAATAAAAGTAGTCAATTTAAACCCCAACCTGGGAAGCCGTCCCTGCTACGCTTGTGGTTTCGTCTTTTCAGCATCCCGTGACATTCATTTACACAGAGGGCAACCGTCCCTGTAAACAGTTCGACCTATTGGTCCCTGCTGTGGACCTGTGGTCGATGAAGAGGAACAGTCTGGGAGCAGCAGACAGACAGGGGATGCTTAAACCTAAGAAAGCGACAGCAGCTTCTGGGTGGCTTGCTCCGCTCAGGGTTTCCCGTCAGGCAGCTCAGTGAGACTCTGTGGAGTGGAACTGGTGAAAGTAGAAAGCCATGAAGACATGGCTGTCTTTGCACTGGAAAAAGCTCCTCCAACTGACTGGCCTGAATGGAAAGAAGGGGAAAAACAAAAGGAAAAAATGTCTTCACTTTTGTTAAGAGACACTGAAAAACCAATGTTAATTAATAAATGTTAATTAACTGCAACCGATATGTTAATAGTTACTAAAATACCATTTACACTTCTAGTTTCAAAATAATCCCTTACCATGGGAATGTCTAAGAGGAACCTGCATAATGCCAGGGTGTAAGACCCTGCTCTCCTAAGCATTTTGAAAATCTTGAGCAAACTCTTTCCTTAATACCCACTGTGCCAGACCAGTGGTTCTCAGCACTGGCTGTGCAGCAGAATGACTCGGAGAGCTGAAAAAGTCCTATGAGCTCTCTGTACCCTAAATCCAAGTTGATAACTAAAAACCACCTGCAGGGAAGAGTTGTTAGGCTGCTTAGGGAAATTTGGTTTTGTCATCTAAAATGATGTTGCATCAAATGAAGACACACAGAGCTCTATCTGCCTGAGGTCTGTTCTGTTTTTCAGAGCGTTATCTCGTGTTAAAGTGAAATTATTTAAGCTGAATCATCCATACTCACTATTCCTGAAGAAGGGAGTGTGGAAGAAGAGAATAGGCCTTAGAATTTAAATATCAGCAGCATCACTAAAAATTAACTACCAACTGACATCATATAACTATGATGAAGTAGAATTTTCCTACTTTTCCATAGTGATGGGGCTATGTGCCTTGTGTTTCTCTTCTAAGACGAGTGTGTGGAGTAGTTCTCTCACCCTGTCTATCTCTGGATATACAGAATGTTAGAGCTACGAGGACCCCTGCAGAGATCACTTAGTTCCGGGGCTTTTGAGTTGTGTTCAGTAAGGGTTAGCCAAGCTCTCTCAGGAGGTAAGAAAGGAGACGGGTCCTATTTTCAATACTGGTATGACAAAGCAAACATAGCCGAATGTAAATATAATCAGTGAATCTGAGATAACTGGGAGTTCCTTGTACACTGCTGCACAATTTAAGTTTGAAATAATATAAAAATAAAAAGTTAAAAATATAGAAAAGAGGGAACAAGAAGTTTCTTTACAAAGGGTATGGAATAATCTTCAAAATATTTTAAGTGAAAAAAGGTACAGAAGGGTGTATACAACAGCATGCTACCATTTGTCTGGCTTTGGTATCAGGGTAATACTGGGCTAAGTAAATGAGTTGGGGAGTATTACCTCAACCACTACTTTCTGAAAGAGTTTGTATAACAGTAGCATTATTCCTTAAATGTTTGATAAAATTCATAAGTGAAGCCATCTGTGTTTAGATTATATTTAAAACCTTGTGGCAAGCTTTTAAATTTTAATTCAACTTATTTAATAGATATAGGGCTATTCAGATTTTCTATTTCTTTACTGCATTGGTTTTGGCGATTTGAGTCTTTCAAGGAAATTGTAGATTTTACCTAAGTTGTTGAAAAATTGGCATAAAATTATTCACAATATTATTATCCTTTTAATTTCTGTAAGATCTACAGTGGTGTCCCCTCTTTCATGCCCAATACTGGTAATTTGTATCTTCTTTTTCTCTTTAATATTAGTCTAAAAGGTTTCACTAATGTTGTTGATTTTTTCATAAAAACAACTGTTGGTTTCATTGATCTTCTTTATTGTGTGATACTACCTTAAAAGACGGCAACTCCTAATGCCTACTTTATTATTATGGCTCTCTACTATTTATAAAGAACTGTGGGCTGGGACTTCCCTGGTGGCACAGTGGTTGGGAAACCGCCTGCCAATGCAGGGGACATGGGTTCGAGCCCTGGTCTAGGGAAGATCCCACATGCCGCGGAGCAACTAAGCCCGTGAGCCACAACTACTGAGCCTGCGCTCTAGAGCCCATGACCCACAACTACTGAAGCCCGTGCGCTTAGAACCCGTGCTCCGCAACAAGAAGCCACCGTGCTCCGCAAAAAGAAGCCACCGCAATGAGAAGCCCGTGCACTGCAACGAAGAGTAGCCCCTGCTGGCCGCAACTAGAGAAAGCCCGTGTGCAGCCAAAAATAAATTAATTAATTAATTAAAAAAAAAAAAAAAAAAAACAAGAACTGTGGGCAGCTCAGGGAATGGAGGAAAAACTCCAGAGAAGCTTGAATCCTGGTAACAGAACAGACAGGACAAAATTTGCTAAACTTGGTTTGACATCATCTAGTGCCACAAGAATTGTTTTAATGAATAAGCCCAAAATTTAAAACAAAAACCTCTGTATTCGACCATCTTGCATTATTATGTGATACACAGATCTCTACAACTTTATGTTTTTATCAATGACATATTGAGGATAGAGAAGAGATGTGTTATGATTCCAATCTGTTCCTGCCCAAGACATCCTTACCAACAGCTTTTCCTGTTTGCACAACATTCCGACTCGTTGTGACCATGACGTTTCCAAGTTTTTTGCCACGTTCACTGTTTTGAACAGAACTGAGTAAAGGAGAGGAATGTTAAGTACAATTTTAAAAAATTTCTCAGGTATACATCCACCACTCCATAACCACCCCTCAAATCAGTACTGCGAAAAGAAGCTAAATAATGCATTATTTGTTATGCATCAATTAATTTACTAACATTCTAAGCACGTGAATCTTCAGAAAACACTAAAAGAATAAGCCAAAAAGTGGTAAGGGCGTAAGGATGCATGCTTAACTCTTCCTACAGTCACAATATGCTAAAGTAACTTCACCAGAACAAAAATGGCAAATCTGGCTATTAGTTCACACCATTCTCCATGAAACAGCAGTGTTTTCACTTTGAAACATACACACTGCTGAGCTAGAGAATGTTATGCACATATTTGGTTACTATTTGAAGCACAAGTCTGTGAAGTGGAGAAAAACAATTCCCAATTAGCAATGAAACACATGGCATACATTCAGACGTAAGACTGTTCCTAGTATTTTCCCTAAATACTCACTGTGAGAATCTTAACTTCATGTCTGACACTGAATACTGGCCTTGGAAAGGATGGCTGTAAAACAAAGTTTGAGTTTAGACTATGAGTATTTCACCAATAAAGCTGCAACACAGTTATCACATGGAAGAATCAGGAAACCTCCCTCGCAGGGGTGACTCAGCCGGGTGGCAGTGCTCCAAATGAGATATAGGAAACAGGGCTTTGATCACAGCTCTCCACTTAACAGTTATGTAAGTCCCTCTGAGCTTATGTCCTTGCTTGTAAAATAGGTGTGCTTTTTTCCTTGGGTGGGGATGGTTTGTGTTAGTGCTGCCCTAATGTTCTGAGTTACCTGGTCTGGGGTGGGGCCCAAGCACCGACATTTTAAAATCAGGCAACCTGATCAACTTTACACTATAAAAGAAGGCATCAATAAATATTCAAATTCTTATCTCATACGCAGGGGTCTCTCTGTCAATGTCTAACAAAGAAAGTGACCTAGAGAAATTTGTAGCCGCTTATTGAAATATCAAAATGCTATTTATGGCTTTTCAAATGAAAACAAATTGATATATTGGCCATGTTAAGCATACGTTAACAATCCCTCTTTTTCTGGATTTCTGAGTCTCCGGTTGGAAAGAATTGAGAGATTAGTTCATCATTCTCTATTCCTGCAAACGCTGTGCTTAAAGGATGAAACATGCCTGCTGCTTTTAAGGGAAGTCAGAGGACTACCTTCTCCGATCTTTAGGAGTTGAAGAAAGGGTTTCATAGATCTCAAACCTTACATTTAGTTTTGAATATTTCCAAATTATACCCCCTGCTGACAGTTGAAGACTATCATTTCTTGTTTTGAATTTGGTGAAAATCTGCTGATGGTCATATCTGCATAATTTCCCTACCTTTTTTTTTTCCTGGCCCTTTTCTTCAGCTTTCTCCTCAATCTAAGTAACCGCAATTTATTTACATATTTTTAAAAGTATTGTTTTTACATTCCTTTAAAACACATTCCAGCTAATCCTCATATGGACCTGCAACACAATCTGTCGAGCTGCTTCAAGTTAAAGGCACTACAGCAGACGCAGGGGCTGCGTAACAATCTGACCAGGCTAAGGGTCAGAGTACCGGGGAGGAGACCAAACTACGAACGGTCACTCCCCCAGCACTACCACAAGGAGCACCGCCAGGCAAACAAACTCACATCTGTTTCTCCTTATTACTCTCTAGAACACAGACCTTGTGGTTAGTGAGGGAGAAAACTCTGAACTTAGTCCTTTCATTTAATACCATTAAAACGCTTGTGCCTTTTAATTCTCTATGTTTTTACCACACCCAAATGGCAACATAGGTTTCTGCTACAGCCCAGTATGAGGATTAAATTCCCCCAAATCGGTCCTGAACCTAGTCATTGTTCTTGATAGGTACAAAATATTGGCAGACATGTTCTCCCAAACCCTGCTTCCTTACAGATGCTTCTGCAAGTTACTATGACATAATTCCTGGGTTTTGTATTTGTAGCACCACTTAAATCACATCCCCAGTTGAGCTAAGTTTACCATAGTTCCCAAATAATATGGTAATCAGTACTAAGTTGATTTTTGTCAGATTCTCACCGAGAAGTAAAGTTTAAAACACAAATGAAAACAAACGTTCAGCGTATACTTGTATTGTAAATAAAAAATTATATATTTTAATTTAGAAAAGAAGTTGCCAAGATGTACGCATTATATTAATTGATCTCCTTAGACGCTACTCTGCCATTCACATAGTATTATTTCTTAATGGCCCCACTCCCCAGCATGTTTAAATGTCTTTTACATGGGATAAACTCTTTGCCCAGCAGTCGGCACTGTGACAGGTATTAAATTTTGTTAGATCTAGAATCTGATGTGGAAACTGCATCAGATTTGACTGCAAATCTAGGAGTTTAAATATTAACTTTAGTTGTTCACACTTCATATTTTAGAATAACCTCTCAGTTTAAAAAAATAAAAATAAATAAAATAAAATAACCTCTCAGTTTTAACCAGTGCTATTTCCCTCAAGGGTTCTGTCTTGTTTGACCATTCTGCTGAGGCAGAGATCCAGCGAAAGGGAGGGAAGAACCATGAGGTAGGAGGATCCTCACAGGCCAGGACTTTGTCTCCAAATCACGCTGGAAGCTGGGAGAAATGTTAGTGCTTCCAAAATGCCTTGTGCTTTGTGGGTAAGAAGTGTGAATAGGGAAGCAGTTTTCAGCTGCTTCTCTGTACTTGGGAGCCTTTTTATAAAAATCTACTCAGGGAGATTCTTGAAGATATTCACAATATCATCAGAGTTAAGATATGATTTTCTTTTCTTTTTTTTTTAAAAAAGATATGATTTTCTTTATGCTGGGGCACACTTAGTAAGTGAACCACCTCTATCAACCTTCAGAGGATGTGCTTACTTTGGATTTATTTCTGCAAGTGCTGGATGCTTGTTGCTGTTCCAGACCCTGTAGTTGTGAGTGTTCTTCCATGCTGTAACAAAGGTCGTCCCATAGTCTGATAAGATCTTTTCATTATCTGTCAAGTAAATATTTGAAAGTTGAGCTGGACTGTAGTCAGTCAGGGATGTAAAGATTAATAACCTAAACCAGTAAAGAAATGGCTTTAGCCTCCCTGTCCCCCTGCTTTCTTGGGGAGACAGCCTACCAGATGTTAGGAATCTTGGGTCTAATTCCAGAAATCCTGTTAAGAAGTGATGTGGCCTTTGGTAAGTCACTTACTCACTAAGAATTTCATTTTTCTTACTAGAAAATAAGGAGGTTGAGCCAAATATTTTCTAAGGTTCCTTAAAACTCCAAAATATTTCCAAGTTCTCCTTACCAAGGTAAGGAGGCATAGTATTATTTATTAAAATCTATAGGCTGGACAGTGGGTTAAACATACTGATGTCTACACATGGAGCAGGCAATTAGGGTATCTTTTCATCTTCTCACAAATGCCATTTTTCTAAGAAAGGCAATTAGAAAGAATACATTAATTGGTTCTTTTTAGACACTATTTACTTTTCTTTGCCTCACTATTCAGTGAAACTTACTCTTGAGTTTCCATGCATTTCACAGTCAAAATACTTAAAATAACAAGGAGATTTTCATATATTTAATGCTTAAAACTTTTTGGCTTTATCGCTATCGAGGCGAAGCTTCAATGAGGAGCGTTTCTTCTACTTGGAAGGATAGAAAAGGTTTTGAGGACTGATTCAAATAGCTATTGCTTCATATGTTAACTTCAAGTTGCTTGCTTTGAGGGTGAAACATGTGACTTTTTTTGCTGGGAGAGGAAGAGAAGGACATAACACGGTTCTGTATGCAGCATAAGGAAGTTCTTTTAAGAACATACTCCTCAAACAGCTCATTGGTCTGAATTTCCTTTAAGAGCTTGGGCCTGAGCCAGACTTCTTGGGCTGAAGTCCCAGCTCAGCCTCTTACCAGGTGGAAGAGCAAACTATTTAACCTCTCTATCCCTCACTTTCTCTTCTGTAAAATGAGGATGACACAGTATCTACCTCTAGGATTGCTGGGAGGATGAAATGAGTTAGCAGATGTTAAGTGCTCAAAAAAGGGGGTGCTGCACATGTTAAACGTTCCCCCCAAAAGTTAGCTACTATGTATTACTCAGTGCTCACAGCTACCCGGGCAAATATTTTTAAGAAGTAAATTAATTACTCAGGAAGCTACATGGCTGGTGGAGACTTGGGTTTTCTTACTAGATAAACTGAATGATTCTGGGTTAGAGGATTTAATTTTGGGGTCTCAGCTGCTACAGCTATAGAAGAGGCAGACATTCAAAAAAAAAATCCCATTAGCAAATAAGGAGTCGCTCCATTAGCTTTCCTAGTGAATGAAGAACATGCCCGAAGCCTGAGTTTAAAACTATATATATTATGTGAAGAACTAACCTGGGAGGTGGCAGTAGTGAGGTTGATTTAAAAATCTACTAACACAACAATGTGAAGGTACTTAATGTCACTGTGGAACGATACACTCATAAATGGTAACGATGGTAAATTTTAGGTTATGTGGATTCCACTACATTTTTTAAAAAAGCAACTGTGAAATAGTTGGATAATTGAAAAGAGGAAAACCAAAAGCTCTATACTCTTTTAACACCACCACCACCAAAGCTAATGAATATATGCTAAGTGTCCAGGGTGGTAGGTGTCCATGGTGTGAGAGCTCATTGCAGAGCTTCATTTTCTCATTGTATATATTCTTTTCCATGGGGAATGAGATAATTTTAACTCAGCAGTGATTCTATGTTTGCCTGTTCCATTTTAACCACTTAATAGGGATAAAATTTCTCAGAATGGGGGATAAATTTGAAGGTCTAATCACTCAGAATGTGATTTTCAATGATTTCTATTTTTTATATTTCTTTTCACCCATTATATATCTTAACATGTAAGCAGTGTTTATAAATAGCACTCAAATACTGATATACCCTTCTATATGGTGGAATACTAAGGGGCCATGTAAAAAGTGACGAAAATCTGCATTTACTCTCTTGATAATATGTTTATGTTTCTATTATAAAGAAAAACTAAGTTATAAAAAACATGAAGAACGGGATCCACGTTTGTAAAAGGACTACCACAAGTACCACAAAACTAAAATCCAAAACACAGGCTTAGAAAAAGGTCTAGAAGGATATCAAGTAGTCAAAATGCAAAGAGTAGTTAAGTCTGTATAAGGGAGTGACAGGTAATTTTTCATAAACTTGTTTCTTATGCAATTCAAAACATCTTAAGAGTTACAAAATGAGCAAGAGGCTGTGAGCTCCTTACCTAACTGCAGCGTGGCGGCCAGCAGTGCATGGATGTAGACTGCAAACTGGGCTCGAATCCATTCGTCACCTCCCTCCCAGCCCGTGCCATCCAGGAAGACATCATCTCGGTTCTCGGTCACATGCCTCACTAGGTAATCTGCGAACCTTAGGTCTGCAGTGGTTGGGTTAAGCAGCTTCCTGAGTTCTGGATCATGGATCTGGATCAGAGCTTCTTCTACCTAGAGGGTACCCGGGTATAAGTCAGAGTCTGGGCATTCACGCAGATATCCATGCCACACTTTAAAGAGTAACTACTGGGAAGTTGGAGCTGGAAATAAAAAATATGAATAACAGCGTTCTCAAAAGGTGAGCCTAAGAAAGAGACAGGTTTTTTACACTGAAGTTTTTTTTTCTTTCACTATTTTAAAAATGCTCATTTTCTGTTCTTAGAAAATATATGCATAAATATTTAATCTTGAATTATAGAAGTAATTCACGTTGACTAAATATTTTGGAAAATATAGAAATATATAGTTAAAATCACCTTTTTCATACAAACAGAAATGAATACAATTAAATATAATTCCTAAAAATTTTTCCTTTGATTGCACAGACACTTTGGAATATTTTTATTATGTAATACTTGATACAGAAAGAAATATATTTAACTTACAGGTTAGTTTTAAAGTATAATAATAAAACAAATACCCATGAACTTGCCAACCAACTTCAGACCTAGAATGTAACCAATAATGTTGAGAAAACTCTGTGGTCCTCCCATCTGTATCCTCCTGCCTTGGAAAGTATATGTATTTTTCTCCCTCAAAATTGGGATACATATAGTTTTGAATCCCAGATTTTTCATTTATTGTATTATAAACGTTTTCCCAGGAGGCACATTCTGGTACTTTCTGTTAGAAACTACAAAAACCTTAGGGTGGCCGAAATTACCCTCACGCATTTGTAAAACATTAATTGTAAAATTGAACAAATTATTTAAATTTCTTATATATTAATAAGATGTCAAATATTTTTCTCTAGTTCCTTCCTCTTGATATTGGGGCACATTAAACAAGCTAGAAGTATTTAAAATATTTATACGATAAACACATTTTAATTGTGAGACTGTAGTAGGACCAGATTGCCTAGGTAGGAATCCTGGCTCATCCAGTTAGTAGCTGTCTGATCTCTCTGTTCCTTAGCTTCTGCAGGTGTAATACAGACAGTAACAATGCCTATTTCAAAGGCTGTTATGAAAACCAGACCAGTTCATATACCTAAGGCGCTTAGGATGCCTGGCAAAGGAAGCAATTATTACCACGATTAGTATTATTACTATGCCCCAAATTCCAATTAAGAAAGAAGGAATCAGAAAGAGAAAAACAAATACTGTATGCTAACACATATATATGGAATCTAAAGAAAAAAAAAAGATTCTGAAGAACCTAGGGGCACAACAGGAATAAAGACACAGACGTAGAGAACGGACTTGAGGACACAGGGAGGGGGAAGGGTAAGCTGGGATGGATTGAGAGAGTGGCATGGACATATATACACTACCAAATGTAAAATAGATATCTAGTGGGAAGCAGCCGCATGGCACAGGGAGATCAGCTCGGTGCTTTGTGACCACCTAGAGGGGTGGGATAGGGAGGGTGGGAGGGAGGGAGATGCAAGAGGGAGGAGAAATGGGGATATATGTATATATATAGCTGATTCACTTTGTTGTACAGCAGAAACTAACACACCATTGTAAAGCAACTATACTCCAATAAAGACATTAAAAAAAAAAGAAAAACAAAAAGAAAGAAGGAAAACAGACCAGCGGTGTCAAGGACCCACACTCATATGTAACCTACTTCCACAATGGCATCACTGAGGTGTTTCTGTTGTCGAAAAAGGATGTTAGTAGCTCCAGCAACAAATCCTCGAATGGTGACATCAGAGAGAAGATGGTGCTGCTGCAATGCCATATAAGGCAAACACAGATATCCCTGAATTACAGGAGTAATAGAAAATATTAGAAAAGTAATGGAACAGCCCGTCTCTCCTCAAGCCTAGAGAGCTAATAGTAGGAAAAAAAACTCCCCATCTTTCCCCAACCCCACACCATTCCTAACACAGCTGATCTTTGACTCAATACAATAATATTCCAATAATAATAATCATAGGTCCGCATGAATGGTCAATCTTGGCAAAATAGTCTACCATGAAGGTTGTCTTACTTGACCACTTTGTTCCTCGGTTCAACTTAAAAGCCTCCACTGTAACTAACAAACCGAATTTTTTTTCATTTAGGAAATGAAGTATTAAGCCCATTAAAAAGTATGTTGTTTAGTAGAAAGCTGTTTGTTCTTCCAGTAAAATTTTAAAACACATGCATTTGCACATAACCAGCAAAGTACTATTATAAGAAGGGCAAACACTGCATAGCAATTATTTTACTGTCCTATTGTTTAAAATTATGCAGCAGTATTTCAAGACACTTTCTACTAAATGTTTAAAGCACAAATGACAGTGGCAGTAGTGTATTTAATTGCTTTCCATTTGAATTGCATTTGAAAATACCATTGCCCTGAAAATTATACTTTAACCACCAAGCCACAGCAGGGAGTTAAGTGTACAGAAAGCAGCCTATATCCTGAAAATAAAGGTGTTAGCACTGGAGTGATGCACTGAAGGAGGAAATGGAATTTCTGCTGAAAGATTCTATATCAAGATAGATTTCCAACTAGTGGCACAATCTGCATGTGAAGGCAGGAGGGAGGACTTGCTGAAACCCTGAATTTGTTTCAATCAAGTCTGATGACAGTTTCATTCATTTATTTTTTATTCTCACCTTTTTTTAAGAAACACTGACTATAGTTATCTGGATAGTGTCTTGTTTCCCTCATGAGACGAATTTCTCGGAGGGCAGGACACACCCCTTCTGCTACTGCAGGTCCTTCCATGCATCTACCATCTGCCTTGTACCTCACAGCTGGTTGTTATATACTTAACATGAAAGAAGACTTCCAAAAGTTGGAATGTATGTCTAGAAACCTGGTTTTATTCTTCTTCTTGACAGTGTCTTCCTCTGCTCTATAAAACGCCAACTAATAGAAGCAGCAAAAATAAATCTATGTCTATGCATGAGACATACTGAGTATACAGTGCTTCTCAACCCACACCCTCTTGTGACTAAAGGTGGAAAGGACCCCTGGTCCTTAGGCCAAATCACTCAAACAGCTGGTGCAAGGCTCACAGGTCATGCTTTACTTTGTGTGCTATGTATTAAAAACGACAGGCTCCCCGCTCCCCAACTACCTGTTTCTAAACATAAATACTATAATATTGAATGCTCTTTCAAACTTGATATGGACCCCAGAATACCCTACTCCCCCAACTAGGCCTGAGAATCCTTCTTGATAAAGGCATCCTCAGAACTGCCAATTTTTACAAAGATTGATTTAATTGCTCATAGTATTGCATTTCATAATTGATTCTGTTAGAGAAGAAAAGTCTACCGTCAACAGTGGAATTCTTGGCTAAGTCTATAACAGCATGAAAACTAAGAATGTGTTTTTTTTAAAAAAATCAATAGTTCAAAGCTTTTTAAAAATATGAAAAAAAATTTCCCTAAAATATTATACATACATATATTCTTTGACCCAACATTTTACTTCTTGTAATTTACCCTACAGATACACCTGTTCATGTGTGGGATTTGTAAAAAGTTATTTATTGCAGCATTGCTTATCATTGCAGAAGACAGGAACCCTAACTATTCATGAACAGGGCAATGAATAAATGTTCTTCTATATGATGGAACACACTGCAGCGAGTGATGAAGTTCATCTCCAAGGAATATTTTGCTTAAAAAAAAAAAAAAGATATAGATAAGGTTGGTTGCCCCTGGAGAGAGCAACTGAATAGCAGGGTATGGAATGAGAGAGACTTTTTATTATAGATGCTTTGGAACCTTTTGAATATTGAACCATGTGAAAGTATTACGTATTTATAAAGTTATTTTAAATAGTAGATCAAAATGGCCTTAAAATTTTGCCATCATTACTTTTAACGATGGTCAATTTAGCCTAAATCTTTTAAAGGTCTTCAGTGTCTGGTGGCAGCAAGAGCCTGGGTACTTTCACATAGAGCAGCCTCTACAGCCAAACTCACCATGGCTTTCCACTTTTCTAGGATACTTTATTTTAACTTCCACATTTGGAGCTGCAGTATATAATGGTTAAAAAAAAAAGAAAATTGAAGAGATATCTGCACACCTATGCTCACAGCCACACTACTCAAAATAGGCAAAAGGTAGAAGCAACCCATACGTCCATCGATGGATAAATGGATAAAGAAAATGTGGTGTATACGTACAATGGAATATTATTCAGCCTTGAGGAGGAAGGAAATCCTATCGTATGCTACAACATGGATGAACCTTGAGGACATTATGTTAACTGAAAGAGGATAGTCACAAAAAGATAAATGCTGTATTATGATTCCACTTATGTAAGGTATTTTAAAGTAGTCAAGTTCATGGAAACAATGATGGGTGACAAGAGCTGGGGTGAGGGGAGAATGGGGAGTTGTGGTTTAAAGGTTATAGTGTTTCAGTTTTGCAAGATGAGAAAGTTCTAGACATCTGTAGTACAACCATGAGAATACACTTAACACCACTGAATTGTGCACTTAAAAATGGTAGAGATGGGCTTCCCTGGTGGCACAGTGGTTGAGAATCTGTCTGCTAATGCAGGGGACACAGGTCTGAGCCCTGGTCTGGGAAGATCCCACATGCCGCGGAGCAACTAGGCCCATGAACCACAACTTCTCAGCCTGCGCGTCTGGAGCCTGTGCTCCGCAACAGGAGAGGCCGCGATAGTGAGAGGCCCACACACCGCGATGAAGAGTGGCCCCTGCTTACCACAACTAGAGAAAGCCCTCACACAGAAACGAAGACACAACACAGCCAAAAATAAATAAATTAATTGATTAATTAAAAAAAAATGGTACAGATGGGGCTTCCCTCGTGGCACAGTGGTTAAGAATCTGCCGGCCAATGCAGGGGACACAGGTTCGAGCCCTGGTCTGGGAAGATCCCACATGCCGCAAAGCAACTAAGCCCATGCACCACAACTACTAAAGCCTGAGCTCTAGAGCCTGTGAGCCACAACTACTAGGCCCACGTGCCACAACTACTGAAGCCCGTGTCCCTAGAGCCCATGCTCCACAACGAGAAGCCACTGCAATGAGAAGCCCACACACCGCAACGAAGAGTAGCCCCCGCTCGCCGCAACTAGAGAAAGCCCACGCACAACAAAGACCCAATGCAGCCAAGAATAAAGAAAAAAATAAAAATAAATTTTTAAAAAATGGTAAAGATAAACCTTATGTTGTTTTTTTTTTTAAACCACAATTAAAACTAAAAAACAAATAACGTCAAAAAACACACCTCAGCTTGGTAAATCTGGCAAACCTGTTGTGAGCTGATCTGCTAGAGAGCTGCAAAAGCATAGTGCCTTCTCCATTGCGACTTGGGAAGGGCTACAATGCCATCAGGACCAACTGGCATTTTCTCATCTCTCCTCTGTTCAGGGATGATAAGCATGTTCATGAACTGGAAGCCTCCATACTGCAGGGATGTCAGTTCTCTACAAAATTTTATCTAGCGTTTAAAGGTAATCTCTCAAAATCTCAACCTCTGTGAGTGAGAACTTAAGTTGATCCTAAAATTAATGTGGAAATGCAAAGGGCTAAGAAACTCTTGAAGAACAATAGCAAGAGAGGAATCTCTGCCTGACTCAACATACATGGTAATTAACACAATGCAGGACTGACGCAGGGACAGATACACCAATGAAACAACAAAAAGCACAGAGACAGACTCCCTTTCTCAACCATACACAAAAATTAATTCCAGGTAGATAAAACCCAAAATGTGAAAGCCAAAACTACAAAGCTTTAAGTCCCATAAATCAGTGACAACAAGGGAAACAACCCAGAAGCTTTGAACAATTACTACACAAAGGGAAATCCAAATGGTTAAGAAGAACATGAAAAGATGCTCAACCTCAACAGTGACTACTGAAAAAAAATTACAAACTAAGAGCCAGAAGATACTACCAGATTGGCTAAGTATTAGGAAGTTTGACAATAACAAGTGTTGGTAAGAATGTGAAACAATGGGAACTCTTAACTACTGCTATGGGAATGCAAACTGTCACAACCACTTTAGAAAACAGTTTGGAATTATTCTAGTAAAGCTAACATACCCATTCCCTGTAATCCAGTATTCCCACTTCTAGGTACTGAATCCTAAAGAAATGCTTGCATGTATACAGCCAAGATTTCCAAATAAGAATTTCATAGAAGCATTATTTGTAGTAGCCAGAAACTGAAAACAACGTAGATGTCCATCCACAGAATTCGTAAGCTACAGAAGAGCCGAAAACAGAAAACTACAGAGGAATAATAATACACGACTTCATGCAAAATTACGGATGAACTAAAAACAATGTTGAGAGGAAAAAAAATAGTATAGTGACACTTAAATAAAACTAAAAAACATGCATCCATTACTTTTTAGCTAGTCACAAGTTATATGTAGGTTCCCTAAATTTGAATATGATACCCTGTAAGCAAGCAAACCAAATATAAACTCAGAAGCAATACATAAAGCAGTTTAATACATATGGCAGAAAAAAATTTTGGTTTCCAACTACATATACTTTTAATTCTTTCATATATTTTTTTTTGCTAAAACAGTTGCAAACTGTGGGCTTCCCTGGTGGTGCAGTGGTTAAGAATCCTCTTGCCAATGCAGGGGACACAGGTTTGAGCCCTGGTCCGGGAAGATCCCACATGCCACAAAGCAACTAAGCCCATGTGCCACAACTACTGAGCCTGCACTCCAGAGCCCGTGAGCCACGACTACTGAGCCCATGCACCTAGAGCCCGTGCTCCTCAACAAGAGAAGCCACTGCAATGAGAAGCCCGCACACCACAACAAAGAGTAGCCCCCGTTCACCACAAATAAAGAAACCCCATGTGCGGCAACGAAGACCCAACACAGCCAAAAATAAATAAATAAATAATATATATATTTTTAAATATGCTTTTTAACGTAGTTCTTCTGTACAAGTATTTTTACTTGTACTCTCATATTCAAGAGAAAAAAAGCCTAAAGGCAATTCACTTTTAAGTATATTCCATATTTGAAAGCTACTGACATGAAAGAATCAGCGATTGTATTTGAAACTGTGATTAAACAAGTTAGATTTGAATCATCACACAATAAAACATAAAACCAAAAAAAAAGTTTAATTTACCATAATGATGGTGGTAAGCCCATCATATATTCAGTACTGGTATAATGGACACAAAAAGAATATTCTGCCAAACAGTTTATTAACAGCACACGGAACACATTAACATTGCTTTAATTCAGCAACCTGGCAGACAAAAACAAAATCCCTCCCTCTTGATATCTCCACAGTGATAAAAATTAGAGTGGGTGGGTGAAGCAGCAAAGTAAGGGCTCCAAAAAGTACAGGCAGTCATGACACTCACATATGAATTCAGAAAACCCACAATTTGCGTCTATTGAGTATACTCAGTAGTTTGAGAGCCCTGAGTTTTCTCCCCAGGCTCCTGAATCCCAGTTTTAAGAAAATGTGCATTAGTTCAATCATGAAACCAATTAAGATAATTTCAGCATCCCCTAACAGGTCACAAAATGAACAAAGACAGCATTTTCTGTTAACTATTCAGCAACACTGACTTGGGGCAAGTACTTATTTGTAATACTGAATACACCCAGAAAGAATTTATCATATAGTGGAAATACATGTTCAAGTCAATACTATCCAATTTCTTTTACTTCAGGCATAAAGGAAGGTACTTAGGGAAATCATAAAACATTGCTCTAGTTACTGGACAGATGTATCTGTCTTTTATGGTAGATTGCAAGACCATGGTTGCAAGAATTTAGAACCTAGTACGAGCCTAGCACATAGGAAGGCAATAAATACTTTTTGACTAAAAAATGAAACATACAGGAGACACTGGTTCGATTCCTGATCCGAGAAGATTCCACATAGCGTGGAACAACTAAGCCCATCTGCCACAACTACTGAAGGCCGTGCGCTTAGAGCCCATGCTCCGCAGCAAGAGAACCCACCGCAATGAGAAACCCACGCACCACAATGAAGAATAGCCCCTGCTCGCTGCAACTAGAGGAAGCCTGCGCACATTAGTGAAAACCCAATGCAGCCATAAATAAATAAATAAATTTTATTTTTTTTAAAAAAAAGGGGATTTTTTTTCTTCTGCTCCATTTTGAAAACTAATTCATGAATGGCAATAAAATAAGGAGTTTCTCGTGAGTAGAATGAAAAATCAAAAGAACCCAAATGTCGCTTCCAGAATCCTAAAATATTCCTGAAATTAAGAAATGATACCCTAGGACATAAGATACTGGCTCAAAGATTCAATTAGATTTACTACGTTGTGTTTAAGTTAAATCATAAATGCATTCTGAATGTTTTTTCATAAAAAGATTAAAAAATAGTTTTTAGGGCAAGTTAACCAAAACACTATATTATACCTATGAGGGGTGCTAAAATTTACGTTAGCCATCTAAGCTTTTTTGTAGCTTTTGGAATTGTCGTATTTTAATATACATTCATTTAATGTAATCAAGACTGCCTCCTCCCCCACCAAAGATAAACCTGAATAATTAAAAACAGGCCAAATACAGTGATTGGTGACCTCAAAATCCCCTGAATTAATTCTCTGTAGCCTTACACTATGGTCACAGATGCCAAAGCACTGTGTATTTTACAGTCAAAGAAAAATTTTCAGACTGAAAATGTGTTTAACACTAAAAGTTAAATTCTAAGAGGATTTTGTTATATCCTTAAGGGCCTTAATAAAGCATTTTAAACCTTACCTTTGTGAAGATGGCCAGGGGCATGCCATACTGGTCCTCTTCCAAACCAGAAATTATCCCTGGTATCAGGACTACCTGGCCTGTGTTAGCTTGAGGTTGTACAGTAATCGGAGGACTGTCTGAGGGCAAAGAGTCCTTTAGAAATGAGTTTGTCTGTTCTGATCCCACCTGTTCTCTTTCTTTCAAGGAGGAGTCCTCTAAGACACTAGGATCCAAGGTCTCCCAGTCACTTTCTGAAGACTCTGGAGATGGGCGAGAAGGAGGTTTCAAATATTGATTGCTGTCATTGGGTTCCTGTCCTTCACTGCTGTCATCATCTACCTGGAAAAAAGGCTCTTCAGTCTTCATGGCAGCATCTCTTCCATGGTTTCTCATCATGATTTTCTCAACAGTTTCCAAGTTGGTATTTGAAATGTCAGGAGCAGGCATAGAAACAAACTCATCTTCAGTGGGATTACTTTCTTGAAGCCCAACATCTTCAGACATACTCTTTCGGGGTCTATATTGAGAACTATCACTGAGACCATGTTCAATCATGCCTAAAACATACAATATTGGTGAACAGTTTGGCTCATAATAAGGTAAAGGAAAAACAAGAGTTGTATATTCTGCTTTAAATAGTGGAACTCCCTTGAAGTAAGTCAGAAGAGACATACAAATATCGTATATTAACACATATATGTGGAATCTAGAAAAATGGTACAGATGAACCGGTTTGCAAGTCAGAAGTAGAGACACAGATGTAGACAACAAATGTATGGACACCAAGGGGGGAATGTGGGACGTGGGGGTGGTGGTGGGATGAATTGGAAGATTGGGATTGACATGTACACACTAATATGTACAAAGTAGATAACTAATAAGAACCTGCTGTATAAAAAAACAAAATAAAAATTAAAAAAATACAATCAAAATAGTGGGACTCTCCTATAAAAATTTTAATAAGCTATGCTTGCACAAATTTCAATGAGAAAAAAGAGAACAGAGAACAGAAGCAAGAAGAATTACAATCCTGCAGCCTGTGGAACAAAAACTACATTCACAGAAAGATAGACAAGATGAAAAGGCAGAGGACTATGTACCAGATGAAGGAACAAAATAAAACCCCAGAAAAACAACTACATGAAGTGGAGATAGGCAACTTTCCAGAAAAAGAATTCAGAATGATGATAGTAAAGATGATCCAGGACCTCAGAAAAAGAATGGAGGCAAAGATCGAGAAGATGCAAGAAATGTTTAACAAAGACCTAGAAGAATTAAGGAGCAAACAGAGATGAACAATACAGTAACTGAAATGAAAAATACACTAGAAGGAATCAATAGTAGAATAACTGAGGCAGAAGAACGGATAAATGACCTGGAAGACAGAATGGTGGAATTCACTGCTGTGGAACAGAATAAAGAAAAAAGAATGAAAAGAAGTGAAGACAGCCTAAGAGACCTCTGGGACAACATTAAACGCAGTAACATTCGCATAATAGGGGTCCCAGAAGGAGAAGAGAGAGAGAAAGGACCCGAAAAATTATTTGAAGAGATTATAGTCAAAAACTTCCCTAACATGGGAAAGGAAATAGCCACCCAAGTCCAGGAAGCACAGAGAGTCCCAGGCAGGATAGACACAGGGAGAAACACACCGAGACACATAGTAATCAAGTTGACAAAAATTAAAGACAAAGAAAAATTATTAAAGGCAACAAGGGAAAAACGACAAATAGCATACAAGGGAATTCATGAAACATTAACAGCTGATTTCTCAGCAGAAACTCTACAAGCCAGCAGGGAGTGGCACTACATATTTAAAGTGTTGAAAGGGAAGAACCTACAACCAAGACTACTCTACCTGGCAAGGATCTCATTCAGATTCCACAGAGAAATCAAAAGCTTTACAGACAAGCAAAAGCTAAGAAATTTCAGCACCACCAAACCAGCTCAACAACAAACGCTAACGGAACTTTGCTAAGTGGGAAACACAAGAGAAGAAAAGGACTTACAGAAACAAACCCAAAACAATTAAGAAAATGGTCATAGGAACATACATATTGATAATTACCTTAAATGTGAATGGATTAAAAGCCCCAACCAAAAGACAAAGGCTCGCTGAATGGATACAAAAACAAGACCCACATATATGATGTCTACAAGAGACCCACTTCAGACCTAGGGATACATACAGACTGAAAGTGAGGGGATGTAAAAAGATATTCCATGCAAATGGAAATCAAAAGAAAGCTGGAGTAGCAATACTCATATCAGATAAAATAGACTTTAAAATAAAGAATGTTACAAGAGACAAGGAAGGACACTACATGATGATCAAGGGATCAATCCAAGAAGAAGATATAACAATTATAAATATATATGCAACCAACCTAGGAGCACTTCAACACATAAGGCAACTGCTAACAGCTGTAAAAGAGGAAATCAACAGTAACAATAACAGTGGGGGACTTTAACACCTCACTTACACCACTGGACAGATCAGTCAGACAGAAAATTAATAAGGAAACACAACCTTTAAATGACACAGTAGTCCAGATAGATTTAATTGATATTTATAGGACATTCCATCCAAAAACAGCAGATTACACTTTCTTCTCAAGTGCGCACAGAACATTCTCTAGGATAGATCACATCTTGGGTCACAAATCAAGCCTCAGTAAATTTAAGAAAATTGAAATCATATCAAGCATCTTTTCTGACCACAAGGCTATGAGATCAGAAATCAATTACAGGGAAACAAAGGTAAAAAACACAAACACATGGAGGGGCTAAACAATACGTTACTAAATAACCAAGAGATCACTGAAGAAATCAAAGAGGAAATCAAAAAACACCTAGAGACACATGACAATGAAAACACAACGATCCAAAACCCATGGTATGCAGCAAAAGCAGTTCTAAGAGGGAAGTTTATCGCTATACAATCCTACATCAAGAAACAAGAAACAAACAAACAAAAAGAAACAAGAAACATCTCAAATAAACAATCTAACCTTACACCCAAAGTTAGCAGAAGGAAATAAATCATAAAGATCAGAGCAGAAATAAATGAAATAGAAACAAAGAAAACAATAGCAAAGATCAATAAATCTAAAAGCTGGTTCTTTGAGAAGATAAACAAAATTGATAAACCATTAGCCAGACTGATGAAGAAAAAGAAGGAGAGGACTCAGATCAATAAAATCAGAAATAAAAAAGGAGATGTTACAAGAGACACCGCAGAAATGAACAGACCAATCACAAGTAATGAAATTGAAACTGTGATTAAAAATCTTCCAACTAACACAAGTCCAGGATCAGATGGCTTCACAGGTGAATTCTATCAAACATTTAGAGAAGAGCTAACACCCATGCTTCTCAAACTCTTCCAAAAAACTGCAGAGGGGGCTTCCCTGGTGGTGCAGTGGTTGAGAGTCAGCCTGCCTATGCAGGGGATGCGGGTTCGTTCCCTGGTCCGGGAGGATCCCACATGCCACGGAGCGGTTGGGCCCGTGAGCCATGGCCGCTGATCCTGCGCGTCCGGAGCCTGTGCTCCGCAACGGGAGAGGCCACAACAGTGAGAGGCCCACGTACCACAAAAAAAAAAACAAAAAAAAAATTACAGACCAATATCACTGATGAATATAGATGCAGAAATCCTCAACAAAATACTAGCAAACAGAACCCAACAACAAATTAAAAGGATGTTAAGTGACCAACACCCCCATGATTGAGTGGGATTTATCCCAGGGATGCAAGGATTCTTCAATATATGCAAATCAATCAATGTGATACACCATATTAACAAGTTGAAGAATAAAAACCATATGATCATCTCAATAGATGCAGAAAAAGCTTTTGACAAAATTCAACACCCATTTATGAAAGAAACTCTCCACAAAGTGGGCATAGAGGGAACCTACTTCAACATAATAAAGGCCATATGCGACAAGCCCATAGCAAACATCATTCTCAATGGTGAAAAACTGAAAGCATTTCCTCTAAGATCAGGAACAAGACAAGGATGTCCAGCCTTGCCACTTATTCAACATAGTTTTGGAAGTCCCAGCCATGGCAATCAGAGAAGAAAAAGAAATAAAAGGAATACAAATTGGAAAAGAAGTAAAACTGTCACTGTTTGCAGATGACATGATACTATACATACAGAATCCTAAGGATGCCACCAGAAAACTACTAGAGCTAATCAATGAATTTGGTAAAGTTGCAGGATACAAAATTAATGCACAGAAATATCTTGCATTCCCATACACTAATGATGAAAAATCTGAAAGAGAAATTAAGGAAACACTCCCATTTACCATTGCAACAAAAAGAATAAAATACCTAGGAATAAACCTACCTAATGAGACAAAAGACCTGTATGCAGCAAAGTATAAGACACTGATGAAAGAAATTAAAGATGATACAAACAGATGGAGAGATATACCACGTTCTTGGATTGGAAGAATCAATAATGTGAAAATGACTATACTGCCCAAAGCAATCTACAGATTCAGTGCAATCCCTATCAAATTACCAATGGCATTTTTTACAAAACTAGAACAAAAAATCTTAAAATTTGTATGGAGATACAAAAGACCCTGAATAGCCAAAGCAGTCTTGAGGGGAAAAAAACAGAGCTGGAGGAATCAGACTCCCTGACTTCAGACTGTACTACAAAGCTACAGTAATCAAGACAATATGGTACTGGCACATAAACAGAGATATAGATCAATGGAACAGGATAGAAAGCCCAGAGATAAATCCACGCACCTACAGTCAACTAATCTATGACAAACGAGGCAAGGATACACAATGGAGAAAAGACAGTCTCTTCAATAAGTGGTGATGGGAAAACTGGACAGCTACGTGTAAAAGAATGAAATTAGAACACTCCCTAACACCATACACAAAACTAAACTCAAAATGGAGTAGAGACCTAAATGTAAGACTGGACACTGTAAAACTCAGAGGAAAACATAGGAAGAACACTCTTTGACATAAATCACAGCAAGATCTTTTTTTGATCCACTTCCTAGAGTAATGGAAATAAAAACAAAAATAAACAAATGGGACCTAATGAAACTTAAAAGCTTTTGCACAGCAAAGGAAACCACAAACAAGAGCAAAAGACAACACTCAGAATGGGAGAAAATATTTGCAAACAAATCAGTGGACAAAGGATTAATCTCCAAAATATATAAATAAATAGCTCATGCAGCTCAATATTAAAAATACGAACAACCCAATCCAAAAATGGGCAGAAGACCTAAATAGACATTTCTCCAAAAAAGACATACAGATGACCAAGAGGCACATGAAAAGCAGCTCAACATCACTAATTATTAGAGAAATGCAATGAGGTGTCACCTCACACCAGTTAGCATGGGCATCATCAGGAAAACTACAAACAACAAATGCTGGAGACGGTGTGGAGAAAAGGGAACCCTCTTGCACTGTTGGTGGGACTGTAAATTGATACAGCCATTATGGAGAACAGTATGGAGGTTCCTTAAAAAATTAAAAATAGAATTACCATATGACCCAGCAATTCCACTCCTGGGCATATATCCAGAGAAAACCATAATTCAAAAAGACACATGCACCCCAATGTTCATTGCAGCACTATTTACAACAGCCAGGTCATGGAAGCAACCTAAATGCCCATCAACAGACGAATGGATAAAGAATATGTGGTACATATATACAATGGTATATTAGCCATAAAGAGGAACGAAATTGGGTCATTTGTAGAGACTTGTGTGGATCTAGAGACTGTCATAGTGAAGTAAGTCAGAAAGAGAAAAACAAATATTGTACATTAACACATATATGCGGAACCTAGAAAGATGGTACAGATGAACCAGTTTGCTGGGCAGAAATAGAGACACAGATGTAGAGAACAAATGTATGGACACCAAGGGGGGAAAGCAGCGGGGGGTGGGGTGGTGTTGGTGTGATGAATTGGGAGATTGGGATTGACATGTATACACTGATGTGTATATAATTGATGTCTAATAATAACCTGCTTATAAAAAAATAAATTAAAATAAAAAACGAGAGAGAAAAGAAAATGTCAGACAAAAGAGAAACCTATGGCCAAAGTGAAAATGTCAGGGAACTAGATCCCACATGCCACAGTTAATAGATTCCCTCATGTTGCTTCCCTGGTGGCACAGTGGTTAAGAATTTGCCTGCCAATGCAGTGGACACAGGTTCGAGCTCTGGTCCAGAAAGATCCCACATGCCATGGAGCAACTAAGTCCATGCGCCACAACTACTGAGCCTGCGCTCTAGAACCCGTGAGGCACAACTACTGAAGCCTGTGTACCTAGAGACTGTGCTCTGCAACAAGAGAATCCACCGCAATGAGAAGCCTGTGCACCACAATGAAGAGTAGCCCATGCTCACCGCAACTAGGGAAAGCCCGTGCGCAGCAACGAAGACCCAACACAGACAAAAATAAAATAAATTTTTTAAAAATTAATTAATTAAAAAAAAGATTACCCCATGTCTCAACTAAAAGATCCCATGTGCTGCAACTAAGACCCAGTGCAGCCAAATAAGTAAATAAATTTTTTTTTAAAATAAAAATAAATAAACTTCTGGAGAAAAAAAAAATAGAATGGTAACCCTAACCACTTTTTCCTTGAAAATTTTTATCATTCAAAGGTTCATGGACCAAAAAAAAAAAAGGTTCATGGACTTCCCTGGTGGAGCAGTGGTTAAGAATCCGCCTACCAATGCAGGGGACATGGAGTTGAGCTCTGGTCAAGGAAGATCCCACATGCAGTGGAGCATCTAAGCCCGTGTGCCACAACTACTGAGCCTGCACTCAAGAGCCTGCAAGCCACAACTACTGAGCCCATGTGCCACAACTATGAAGCCCTCGTGCCTAGAGCCCATGGTCTGTAATAAGAGAAGCCACTGGAATGAGAAGCCCGCGCACTACAACGAAGAATAACCCCTGCTCACCACAACTACAGAAAGCCCGCGGGTAGCAACGAAGACCCGATGCAGCCAAAAATAAATAAGTATACATACTAATATGTATAAAATAGATAACTAATAAGAACCTGCTGTATAAAAAATAAAATAAAATTCAAAATAATAAAAATAAATAAATATTTAAAAAAACAAAGTCCAGGACAGGGCTTCCTTGGTGGTACAATGGTTAAGAATCCGCCTGCTAATGCAGGGGACACGGATTCAAGCCCTGGTCCAGAAAGATCCACCATGCCGCTGAGCAACTAAGCCCGGCACCACAACAAGAGAAGCCACCACAATGATAAGCCCACACACCGCAATGAAGAGTAGCCCCCACTCTCCGCAACTAAGGAAAGCTCGCGCGCAGCAACAAGGACCCAATGCAGCCAAAAATAAATAAATTAATTTTTTAAAAAAAGGTCCAGGACAAATTATAAAAAGGTAGAGTAGAAACCGCTACGCTCTTACCTGGAAAAAGGGATAACACTGTCATCAGGGCACCCACCAATTTATTCACTGGAGAAATATAAAAGAGAACCTGAAATGGAGTCAATCAAAATTAAATCAGAAAATCCATGAGTCCACAATGATACTTTAAAACAAGAAAAAAGAAAAGAAGGGAGAGGGGAAAACTCTTTACAGAAGTGTAACAGCTAAAACATACAGAATTTATGATAGAATCAGAAAATCACCAAGCCATCTATCATGGTTCAGGTAAAAATTACCAATGGATGCTAAAACTATTGTGAAAGGTTGTTGGGCAACAGGATATCCACATATCTTCAAATTTATCAACCCACAGTTTACCTATTAATTGCAAAGAGAAAAAACAAGTACCTAATTTAAAGAAACCTGGCAACCACCACCTGAATCAGATGATCAAATTTCACATTGCCAAAAATAATACAAACAGTTATGGGGCTCCTGATGTGATGCCCCGAGAAGGACACACCACCACCTCTATTCTTGCCAAAAAAATTTAATCTGAAACTAGTGACAACAATCAGACAAATCTAATACTATAATGCAACTAATCTGGATTCTTAAAAAAAAAAAAATTAAAAGGCCAATGTCATAAAAACAAAGAGAAACAAAAAAAGAGCGAGGTGGTGGCACTGTTTGAGATTAAAGAAAGCTAACAATGCAATAAATGATCCTTGGTCTCCAGATTAAGAAAAGCAACCAGCTTATAGGACATTATTACGACATCTGGGGAAATGTGAAAATGGACTGTACATTAGATAGCATTTATTATATCAATGTTAAATTTCTTGAATGTGAAAATGATATTTTGTCTGTGGGAATGCACCCTTATTCTTAAGAAATATATCCAGGGCGTGTTAGGAATCGGGCTGCACAGCAGGAGGTGAGCAGCCAGCAAGCAAGGAAAGCTTCATATGCCACTCCCCATCGCTCCCCATCGCTCGCATTACTGCCTGAACCATCCCCCCTGCCCCGCCTCCGATCCATGGAAATACCGTCTTCTGTGAAACTGGTCCCTGGTGCCAAAAAGGCTGGGGACTGCTGTCCTAAAGTATTTAGGGATGAAGTACCATGGTGTCTACAAATTACTTTAAAATTATTATGATTCAGGGAGAAAAATGAACACATATAAAACAATGTAATGCAAAAGCAAAATGTTAACAACTCATAAACACAGATGAAGGGTATAAAAGTGTTCATTATATATTACTCTATCAACTTTCCTGTAGGTTTGACATTTTTCAGAATAAAAATTGACAAAAATTAATCCAGAACAGGGTTCAGTTAGATAGTGCACTAAAACTAATGCTGGTGATAATTAAATTAGAGGAAAAAAACAAGCATGTAGTTGCTCAGGTGAGAGTTTTTTCTTTTTTTAAACCATTAAATCATTTAGTGGCACTAAGTGATATCCAGTAAAGCGTAACATCCATAATCTCCTGTGCTCTCCTTACACGTTGCTTATTTGAATGCTTTGCAAGTACAGAGAAACCAAGACTGCATTAAAAGATGTCCTTACTTTATTAAATCAATATAAAAAGTGTGTACCTGTGATTTGCCACATTAAATAAAGTCTACTTGATCATAAGTGCCACTGCATGTGGCTAGGCTAAATATTATTTTGCAAAATTTTGTTTCAGATACATGTATCCACATGTGCTCTAAGTTTCAATGAAAAACATTTTTTATTATGGGTTGCAATAAAAAGTTTGAAACCTACAACTCAACAACAAAAAAAACAAACCTGATTAAAAATGGGCAAAGGACTTGGATACACATTTCTACAAGGAAGATATGCAAGTGGCCAAAAAGCACATGAAAAGGTGCTCAACATAACTAATCATTAGGAAAATGCAAACCAAACCCAGGAGATATCACCTCATACCTATTAGGGACGGCTACTATCAAAAAACCTGAAAATAACCAGTGTTGGAGAGGATGAGAATAAATCGGAACACTTATGCACTGTTATTAGGAATGTAAAGTGATTTAGCTACTGTGGAAAAGATGGCAGTTCCTCAAAAAATTAAAAATAGAACTACCATGTGATCCAGCAATACCACTTCTGGGTATACACTCCAAAAAACTGAAAGCAAGGTCTTGAAGAGACATACATAGACCCATGTTCACAGCAGCATTATTCATGACAGCCAAAATGTGGTATGTACATACATGGAATATTATTCATCCTTAAAAAGGGAGGAAATTCGGACATCTGTTGTACATGGATGAACCTTGAGGACACTATGCTAAGTGAAATAAGCCAGTCACAAAAACAAACACTTATGATTTCATTTATATGAGGAACCTAGAGTAGCCCAATTCATAGAGACAGAAAGTAGAAGGGTGGTTGCCAGCAGGTGGGAGAAAGGGAGAAGGAGGAGTTAGTGTTTAATGGGTACAGAGTTTCAGTTTTGCACAATGAAAAGAGTTTTAAAGATGGATGATAATAGTGCAACAGGAACATACTTAACACCATGAAACTGTACACTTAAAAATAGTTAAGATGGTTAATTATATGTTATGTGTATTTTACAAGTATAAACTATTTTGAAAGGTTGAAACACTGTACTAGGACATGTTAGTTTCATTCACTTTTTAAAAATTTACTTTTTTTCTGTTTGAAGAAAGAATACATATTCATCCAGAAAGCTAGAATATAGAAAAGTGTATTTCCTTCTTAAAAATATAGCCAATATTCTCACCAAGCTGTTGCTGTCTTTCCTCCTACTCTTTTCAATTAATATATATTTAATTATAAAATTGGAATCATGGGCTTGATATGTAGCTGGGCAAACTTTTTTCACTTAACATGCCATGAAACATCTTTACAACAATTAAAAAAACCCACCCAGAATCTTTTTTGTTGTTTGGAAATTATATACAAAATAAATCAATACTTACTTAGTCACTGATAATTCATTATTAAAAATGACTGAAAGAATCTCTTAGATAGAGCTTTGCATCAACTAAGATTAATTCTGGAAATTAAACCTCTAAGAGAACAATTACTGGGCCAAACGGATAAACATTTTTATGGAAACAAAATATACTGGATATTGTGAATGGCTGACTCTCCAATATCCATTCCACCCTACTTTACTGAGCACAGTAACACAGTGTATACAACTGGCCACAGATCCAGGGATGGCTCCTGATTACTCTAAACCAGAGGTCAGCAAACTTCTCTATCGAGGGTCAGATAGTAAGCATTTTTCATTTGTGGGCCATTTGGTCTCTGTCCCAACTACTCAACTCTTCCACTGTAATGCAAAAGCAGCCATAAACAATAAGGAAAAGAATGGCTGTAACTATGTTCCAATAAAACTTTATTTACAATAGGTGGTAGACCAGATTTGGCCCTGGGGCCTAGTGTGTAGACTCTTGGTATAAAATTCCTCATCTAAATCTTTGATCTAAAATCATTGCAATCCCATCCCTTTGTACTAGAGAGTGGTCTGGAACCCAGGTTTAAGCCAATCAGTACAGGCATTTCTTTGGCACCAATTATTGGTTCTGGGTAGGCACATGGCCTCATAGGCCCAAAGGAATTGACAGGAAGAATCCTTATTAAATGGTTTGCGAAGAGGTATTATCTCTGCCACCAGTTATAGCTAAGGAAGCACATAGTTCAATTACTGTTGGCAGTTATCCTACACCACAAGGGAAGTTAGGCTCAAGATAAAGCAAGCACTGTGGACCACAGAACAAAGAGATGGAAAAAATCTAGGTATTTAAATACATTGTCAAACCATTCAGTCAATCCACTCTGAAGTCTGAAGCGAGCCAATACATTTCCTTATTTTTTAAGTCAATTTAAATTGAGTTTTCGGGACTTCCTTGGTGGACCAGTGGTTAAGACTCTGTGCTTCCACTCTAGGGGGTATGGGTTTGATCCCTGGTAGGGTAACTAAGATCCCTCAAGCCGCATGGCACAGCATGGCAATCAATCAATCCATCAAGAGAACTTTCTGTTATCTATAGTCAAAACCATTCTGATAACTGAATACTATCAAATTGCCCCCAGAAGAGACTGCATGAATTTACACTTCTATAGTAGTGGACAAAAATATGTGCTTTAGCCCACTGTACTTTTATGGCCAAAAAAGTCTTAATTTATACTTTATCATTAGTTTCAATTTTATATAGTATTTAAGAAATGTCAATAAATATTAAATATTCTAAACATTCAAATCTCACCTTCTTTTCAAGAAGAATTAGTTTAAACAGGATTAGGACCTGAAGAAAGAAAAAAAAAAACTATCAAAATAAGAAACTCAAGCCTATTTTTCATTTGCCTTTGCCTCTCCTCAAACATAACCATGTATCATTGAATCAATAATATTAAATAATTCTAGAGCTTTAAACACTACATTGAAAATTATGAACTTATACTGAGAAATTCCTGTGTCCTCTAAAAATGTGAATACCACTTAAATTGCTATCAAATTGCACTTTTCGGAATAAGTTGCGCCATTTTTGCTTGAAATATCTGCAAGCTCCTTAAAGTTAAGGTACTATTCATTTACTTCTGGATGTCCAGGGCATTCACAGAGCAGATACTCATTACAGCTGTTAAGTGAATGATCAATGTGTGTATGTCCCAGTCAACAGACGCCTCAAGAATAAAGATCAAAAGATATAAGCATAGATATTTTACTGGAAAATGTTTCACTCTCAGGGCAACATATAAAATACTCTGCAAGATAAAAACATGTTTCTTTTAGATGTGGTATACATATACAATGGAATACTACTCAGCCATAAAAAAGAATGAAATAATGCCATTTGCAGCAACATGGATGGACCTAGAGATTATCATACTAAGTGAAGTAACTCAGAAAGAGAAAGACAAATGCTATAGATATCACTTATATGTGGAATCTAAAATATGACATAAATGAACTTATCTATGAAAGACTCACAGACATAGAGAACAGACCTGTGGTTGCCACGTGTGTGTGGGGGAGGAGTGAATTGGGAGTCTGGGATTGGTAGATGCAAGCAATTATATAGAGAATGGATAAACAACAAGGTCCTATAGCACAGGGAACGATACACAACATCCTGTGAAAAAAAGAAGTTTTTTTCCACTCTGATTTCATGATATCCAAAATTACAAAAACCATAGAAAAAAGTATCCTATCCTGCACAGAAATAAATGACACTATTTGTATACTTTTAGAAATTTCTACCATATAAGCACTACGAACACTTTCAACTTTGTATCACTATGACAGCTGTCTCAGAAAAACTAAAACACAGTTATGCCATGCTCTGCATTAGACCATGCAGCTCATGGAATTTGCCCAGTTAAGTAATTTTAGTACGTCATAAATTAAATAACATATCATACCTTGTGTCGAAAATGAAGCACAAGATCTCGAGGAGATAAACCTATAATGTTAAAAAAAAAAAAAAAGCTAATCTATGACTACCAACTACTGTTTTTGTCAAAGAAAGTTTTAACCTCCTCAAAAGAAAGGCAGGTAAAAGTAGGAATATGCAAATATTTAAATATTTATGTAATATCTCATTATACACACACATAATCAGAATTTATCAAATACTGTTAACAGTCAAACAGCACTGCGATAGAACTTTGCAATAATGAAAATGTTCTAAATCTTCACTGTTCAATAGAGTAGCCATATGTGGTCACTGAGCACTTGAAATATGGCAAGTGTGACTAACAAACTGATTTTTAAATTTTATTTAATTTCTATTAATTCTAATCTAAATGTAAACAGTCACGTGTGGCTAGTGGCTCGTGTTGTGGTCATGCAGCTCTAACACCTCCCCATTTTCCAGCCATCTTACAAATTACCCAAGTTTAGAAACTATGAAGCTTGTACTACTGTGGCAGTCAATCATTTAAACATGGTTTTTGGTCACTACACCCCACAGGTTACTATTTCTGAATCACAATCTTCTCTGATCATCTGCCTTAAGACAAGATAAATTAATTTAGAGAAAAACATATTCTCAGAATAGGAGCTTTGTAACCAGCTTACATTACACACAGGATTGCAAAAGTGAAGTTCCAGGGTTTGGCTACATAATGCTAAAATGGGAATTGAGCAAGCGTAAATCACTATGTGATCAACAATTTTTTTAAAACATGAAAAGGACATTTATTGAGTGCCTAACACATGAATGAATGTTCTGGGTTGTCAAAATAGCATAAAACCCTCAACTTGAAAAATCTTAGAATAGAAAAGAGCTCATAAGCAGATCTCTCTCTCTTGCTCTCCCTCTGTGTTATGACAGGGAACTGACCTGGTCAGCATTAATGTAAGGAAAACAAACTTCCATTATTACTCTGAAAAGCAGAAATTTTCCTTGTACAATAATAGTTGTAAATTTTGATACAAGTATGTTACAACCCTTCTTAATGCAAATACTGTCTAAGAAGATACTTAAGGAAGCAGCAGCATCAAATGTTGGAGAATTTAGATCCCATATAGAAACGTAATGCTTATCATGAAGTTTTACATGCAACTCAGCATGCCAAACAAAAAGAAATGAGGGCATTTCTTCTGACTTGTAAAAAAGTGACTTACCAAGATATACCTGGGATCCTTCTAATGAAGTTCCTCCCAGGGAACTATTCATATGTTCATAGAGCTCCTATAAAATAAAAATTCAGTTTAGAACACTTTACTATCATTTTAGACACTGAATTAGAAATAGGATGACCAAGGGAAAATTGGTTCTTTAACTGAGGCAATTTTGTCTCTCTGAAACTTGCCAGTTTCCAGCAATCCTTCCTTCTCTTCCTCTACATATCAGAGCTTGATTCATTTCCATGGTGGTACGGATTCCTAGGATAAATTTCCTCTACTTCCTTGCTAAATAACTAACTGTCCTACTCTCACTAGAATCCAGGAGAGATCCATGTTCTATACATCCATGGCAGCCTCAAGAAAAACATATTATCCATCCTCAGTAAAGTAGGAACGTGGTTTTTCTGTGCTTTTTAGTATGGGAGTTAGGATCCAGAAATGTGATATATAAACATACTGCTCAGTGTATTAATAACATAACAAATGTAGAGAAGAAATGCCATAGTGAAAGGGCTATTATCCATTAACAGAAACATTTATGTCAGTCAACTGTCAATCATTATTTTCTAATAAAAAATGGTTTCATTAAGTTTAATAAGTATGAACTGTACATTTTGGGATGATCATTGGCTCTTCAATATTATTTTCAAACAAGAATGTCCTTCTTAAGCTAATAAATGATTATCTCACACTATTAAAAATCTACTTGATTCATCAATCTGTCTTCACACACATCTATGGGGGGGGATAAAGTTACCTTTAGAATGGAAATTTGGGAAAAATCCTTCTCTTCAAAATATGCATGCGTAATGAGTTGAAGTTTTGCTTGAAGTAAGCCATAGAGAGGCTTAAAGAAAAAGAGAAATTACCATTAGTTTAATAGTTAAAAAAAAAAACAAACACCCCACGACTTTTTAACTTGAAAAGACCGAGAAGGAAAAAGTTACTGACAACTTTAGTATCTTATTATTCACAGCTGAACGTTAAGTCACCGTTCTAGCTCCTGGACTGCAGCTGCAAAGTGCCTGACCCACTCAGAGCACCGGGGTTGAGAGTGAGCACAGACCTCCTGGGTCTTGCTCCAGTCACTCAGCTGCGTAACTCTGGGCACTTAACCTCTCCGCGTCTGCTGACTGATGTGAACATGGGTATACGAAAAGACAGTACATCTTCTGGGGCTTTCTCATATTAAATAACACAGGTAAAAGCACTTTCTAGAGTATCTGGCATATAGAAAGCACTTAAATGCTAGCCATCATTATCATAAAATTTAAAACATATTGTAATCCTGCACACTGTTCTGCTAGCTTGTAGTAACGTTTAATCATCCTTATAGCACTAATTCTTATATTCAGTTGAACATTCATGATTAAATTTAATTTCATTTCCCCTTTTTTTGCCCTCTATAGAGGCTTAAAACTAGTCTGTGTCCTTTATAATATCCTATATAATATTCTTTTGTATATCTGAAAAAAGTTACTCCTTAATTCTTATTTCTCTATTTAAAACCTTCTTCCTACCATTTCCATCCTTTTATGTTCTGTTCTAGATGTTTTCTGGTTTCTGTGTCCTTTTTAGGATGCAGAGACTATGCTGAATATATACTCTAATTAGTTAAAACAAGTAATAGTGGAATAGTTTTCTCCCCCAATATCCCGGTTAATATATCATTATTTCTATCTAAATATATTTTTATATATAGACTAAAATGCACTATGAACCACCAAACATTTTTGTGTGAGCTGGCTCTGTCTGTCTGATAAAACTGGCTTTTCACCCCAATTTTATCATATAGCAGTTACAAGTTCATGAGAGTTAGACATTTTTTCTCTGAGATATATCTTTATTTGTGAAATGAGAACAATAAATACTTAGATCTCTCTTCTTACGAGGATTAAAATGACAACTATATCTAAAAAGTGCCTGGTATAGAATACCTGACATATAGGCACTTGATAAGTGGCACTTATTATTATTATTACTGTTCTTTGAAGAATTACTCAGGAAGCCTTTCAACATGTTGTGTTTATTCAATATCCAACACTCCTATACTTTGGTCATCTGGTCCAGCATTAAAAAACAATAATTCACTGATGTATATTTTTTCAGGCTACCCTTCTAGAAACTGTGTACAGGAATCAGATTAGCAATTTACCAATTTTCTGATATTGAAGTCTTTTATAACCATTCCTTTTCTAGGAGACTATTCTTGCCCTATATTTAAAATTACTTGGGACTTCCCTGGTGGCACAGTGGTTAAGAATCCGTCCCCCTATGCAGGGGACATGGGTTCAAGCCCTGGTCCGGGAAGATCCCATATGCTGCAGAGCAACTAAGCCCACGCACACAACTACTGAGCCTGTGCCCTAGAGCCCGCAAGCCACAACTACTGAGCCCACGCGCCTAGAGCCTGTGCTCTGCAACAAGAGAAGCCACTGCAATGAGAAGCCCGTGCACCGCAAGGAAGAGCAGCCCCCGCTTGCTGCAAACTAGAGAAAGCCCGCGTGCAGCAAAGAAGACCCAATGCAGCCAAAAAACAAACAAAAAATTACTCTCTTGGAACAAATATCCTGATCGTCAAAATCTTATTAGTAAGGTCCATAGTACTAAATTATTCTCACTCAGGTTTTTTTTTTAAAGCTTAGTACTAAGCAAGCTACATTTAAATTGTCTGTGAATATAAGAAATTGGAACAACTGCAGAAGAAATAATTAAATAAAACCATAGTTTTTTTGGTGACTAGGCTAATGAAATATTCTGTTTTGCGTTAGGTTAACTGCAGAAACATTTGTACTCAGTAATCATATAGATCTAAGATAATTAATATGATAGATATCTAGATATTTTTTCCCACAAACAGAAGTGGGGGGACTATATTTTACATGTAGAACTAGGCATCTGGTGTTACTGGTAAAGGTGTTATTAACCCATTAATAATACAAATGGGACATCACAAATGATTTAATAGAGACAGCTATGAAAAATAAGAAATGCTATATATTTTCTTTTGAAAACTAAAAAGTTAAAATGATTATAAACTTGCATCTGATCAACCTGTACAGAGAAGAAACAATTTTAAAGTGTTGTTATAGTACAATTCATTATGTCATTTCCTTTCCTCAAACATTTTCAGTTTTTTGTGTTTTTTTTTTGCGGTATGCGGGCCTCTCACTGTTGTGGCCTCACTGGTTGCGGAGCACAGGCTCCGGACGCGCAGGCTCAGCGGCCATGGCTCACGGGCCCAGCCGCTCCACGGCATGTGGGATCTTCCCGGACCGGGGCACGAACCCATGTCCCCTGCCTCAGCAGGCAGACTCTCAACCACTGCGCCACCAGGGAAGCCCACACATTTTCAGTTTTTAAAGAGCAAGCTAGGGATACAATTTTTCACTGTAAAGAGCCATGCACTTTTGTATCATCAATAAAATCTGAGTAATTATGATACTTTGAATTTTAGTAAAATATTACTTATCTACAGTCTCGAGAACAAAACAAAGCTGGATAAATTAAATATATCAGATGCCTCATTTTGCTCACGTATCAACCTCCTTCCCCAAAACTGATCTATTAGATTTCCTCCCTTTTAAGTAGTTTTGGGCAGAGGGGAAATGAGAGTGAACCTGCTGAAAGGCAAAGAGAAGATGCAAGAGCATCAACAATAAGCCTCTGACTAATTTTAATATATCACTGTTTTCATAAACCTCTCCTCATTCTAATAATGCTTTATCATCAAATAAAAAGCTGCCATGAGTGTTTAACATTAACAGGTTATTTGGTCTCTTACCAGCTTGCTTAGAACACAGACACTTTTCTGAACGGTCTCTCTGGTGATATCTGCTTGCCGTACCTTCAATGCCTATTATAAACAAATAGTCATTATTAAAAATATTTCATGGACATATTTAAAAATAATTATTTTTCAATATAACACAGCAATCAGAAAAAGTATCTTACACTTAATTAAAAGCACTTATTGAGAATCTCAGAAGGTATTTATTGAATGAATAAGTGTCAGCCAGAGCACTCTGCCAGAATCTGGCAGGCAATGGGAACATAACAGTGAGAGACAATCTCTACTCTCAAGGAATTCAGGCTGGTGGAGATTACTTGACGTGTAAATTGCCACATCCATAATGCAAATCAGTCATCCCTGGTTCTGGTTTTAAAATGGACACCCCTTTCGGAGATTAATGTTTCTGATGAGAAAGGGACAGTTTAACAGCTTGTTTCTCCAGAGATGGAAGAATTGTCAGCAGTTTTGTTAAGCTGGTTATTCTACGTTACTGGAGTCTATCCTGGCACACCTGTATTGTATTGTAGCCCAGCCCTGAGCCGTAACTCAAGCCTTGGTGATTCTGAAGATGACTATGTGAGATATCTGCAGTTCTCTGCTAGTAGGAAAAAGGACTTGATCAACCTCAGGTAAGGCTGTGAGGGCAGTAAGAATGACTCTTCCCCCCCAGTGTACTGCCTGTCTCCTTGGATCTGTCCTGAGGACCATGGGGTCTCAGTGTCTTCAACTGCCTGAGGACTGATGATTCGTCATTAGATTACATCAAGAGTAGAGCCTTTCCTCAATCTGTTTCTACCTCTTTACCTTGATTGGATTCATCCATCGGGTCTCAGCTTTGTTCAAAAGGAAAGGAAAGGCTTTCTCCTAGGCTCTAGGGCTCTCTGATATCTGCTTTATCTGTCTGGTTATCATATGAGGTGAGAACAACCTGGAGGAATGGGCAACCCCAATATACTCTGGAGTGGGTCAGACTCAAGAGGCGTCGGAGACACGCAGTATGAAATGCCACTTAAAGGCTGTCTATGTAGAGCATGAGAACTGTTGTTAATGACAACAGCATCAGAGGAATAATTTTACTAGTGGTTATACAATTTACAGGGGATAAGAGGTAGTGAAAGGAACAGATTTCCAAGAAAGGGCAGCAGCTCAATTCATCTCATCTAATAAGATGTAAGGTACATGAAGAAATCAAATGCGTAATTATTCGCAGGTTTCTTTATCTTTAAACTCAGTTATTCATTTGAACCACAAACATTTACTGGGTGTGTCCTATGTTCCAGGCCCTGCGCATGGAGGGTTATTTCACAGTAGTTAACTACTTTGGGTATGCTGGGATTTATTCGTGCAGTTTACTTTTAAATGCCTGAGGGAAACACACACACACACACACACACACACACACAGAGCAAATGTGGTAGAACGTTAACAACTGTTGAATGGAGATGGTGGGTATACAGGTGTTTATTGTGCAATTCTTTTAATTTATCTGCGTGTTTGAAACGTTCATTATAAAAGCTGAAAGAAAATTTTTAAAGACTTACTAAGTTAATTACCCACCTGAGGAAGCTTTTAAAACTTTGTAATTGCCTAGGATCTACTACCAGAGATTCTACTTCAGTCTGTAGAAGGAAAGGCCCGGCAAGTATACTTAAATTTAAAAAAAAAAGTCTCTGGGGCTTCCCTGGCAGTCCAGTGGTTGGGACTCCATGCTTCCACTGCAGGAGACACAGCTTCGATCCCTGGTCAGGGAACTAAGATCCCGCATGCTGTGGCCAAAAAAAAAAAAAGTCTCTTGGCCAAAAAAAAAAAGAGTCTCCATGTAGTTCTGGTTAAAAACCATTGTTTTAGAGCAGCGGTTCATAGTCTTGCCTACATATTAGAATCACCTGGAAAACTTTTAATACTCCTGATGCCCAGAACGTTAAATCAGAATCTCTGGGGTTGGAACCTAGTTATCCCAAGTATCTAAAGCTCACCAGGTGATTCCAACAGTGAAGCCGAGGTTGAAAAGCGCTCACTACTTCAGAGTATTAATCATTTCATAAGAGGAAAGAGATCTTTACTCAGAAAGGGTATCCCCACCACCAAGAGAACGGTGCTGCACAGAAGCAAACCAGGAAAGGGGAAGCTACCCATCGTGATTTATTTAAATTTATTAATTAGAGATATTATAGTAAGTTAGGCATTAAGCGGGAAGGTAAGTTTAAGAATGATCAAAATCTTAGTTATATATAATTAAGATAACTTGCAAGTAGTTTGCAGCTACTATAAGTACTTTCCATTACTTCTAGAATGTTCCTTAAAAAAAAATACAACACTCATTACCATTCCATTTTTTAAAGTTACATACCAAACACTAGAAATAGAAAACTCAAGGACACCATGAATTGACATACAGTATTTTGAAGACAAATGGATAATTTTGGTATCAATATCTAAAAACAATGTACAAAATATTATACAATACAAATATAATTAGTCGCCAATGTCAACTTAGAAAAACATTCATGTGAATTAAACTGGTACTATAGAGAAAACAGCTACATGGTTTATAACACTTTAAAACATTATCACAGGTACCACATGAAACATAAAGATTATGTATTTCCCCAAATTCTACATCTTAAGTGGCCAACAATTAAACAATTTTTTAGTGTTTTTTGGTGTTATTCATTTTAACTGTACCTTGGCTTCAATTTGTCGATAGCAAGAGATACCATATACAGTGGCTCCATTTCCATTTCTGGGTGGCAAGTGAAAAAACACAGTATCTAAGAGATATACAGAAAAAGGTAAATACCAAAGTGGACTACCCATATTAATAATGAACTTTGATGTTATTATAATGCAGTCACTTAAACAAAAACGATGAAGTAACAGGAACCCATGTCAGACTGATTTCTAGCATCACAACCACTGGTTTCTTAGAATTCCTCTCACTGCTTTCCAGTGTACACGCATGACAAAAAGCCCAAGAGGCTGAATCATAACAGGTCGAATTGAGACTACAATCACTTTTCTCAGAAAATACTTTATTATACAGGATTATTCCAGATAAAAAGAAAGTAAAGAATCATACAGGGAATTCTCTGATGGTCCAGTGGTTAAGACTCTGCACTCTCACTGCTAAGGGCCTGGGTTCTACCCCTGGTCAGGAACTAAGATCCCATAAACCGCGTGGCCAAAAACAAGAAACAAGAAAAAAAAAAAAGTTTATCCTTAGGGACTTCCTTGATGGTGCAGTGGTTAAGAAACCACCTACCAATGCAGGGGACACGGGTTTGAGCCCTGGTCCAGGAAGATCCCGCATGCCGCGCAGCAACTAAGGCCGTGTGCCACAACTACTGGGCCTGAGCTCTAGAGCCCGTGAGCCATAACTACTGAGCCCGCGCACCTAGAGCCTATGCTCTGCAACAGGAGAAGCCACCGCAATGAGAAGCCCGCACACCGCAATGAAGAGTAGACCCTGCTCGCCGCAACTAGAGAAAGCCCGCATGCAGCAACGAAGACCCAATGCAGCCAAAAACATAAATAAATAAATAAATTTATATATATATAAAAAAAGAATCATACAAACCAAAGGCAACACATAAATTTTGAATAGATCCAAGAAATTCTTGGGACAATTGGGGAAATTTGAACATAGATTAGATATGAGATGATATTATGGAATTACTGTTAAATCTCTTAGCTGTGGTAAAAGAATCGAAAGTCATCCCGGGGAATGATCTTATTTTTACAAGATGCAGGCTGAAGTATTTAAAGTGTCATGATGTTTGCAACTGACTTTCAAATAGTATAGGCAAAACTGTACACATATATAAAGAAAGTTTGTGGAATATTTACTATTGTTCCAACTTTTCTGTATGTTTAAAAGCTTTCATGATAAAAAGGTTAAAAAAAGAAGACGTGTGAGGTTAAAAGTACAGCATTTTAATTTTATGTTAGAGACTTCCCTGTGGCGCAGTGGTTAAGAATCTACCTGCCAATGCACGGGACACGTGTTCGAGTCCTTGTCTGGGAAAATCCCACATGCCGTGGAGCAACTAAAGCTGTGCGCTACGATTACTGAGCCTGCGCTCCAGAGCCCGTAAGCCACAACTACTGAAGCCCACGCACCTAGAGCCCATGCTCTGCAACAAGAGAAGCCAGGGCAACGAGAAGCCCACGCACCGCAACGAAGAGAAGCCCCCTCTCTCTGCAACTAGAAAAAGCCTGTGCACAACAACGAGGACCCAATGCAGCAAAAATAAATAAATATAAATTTAAAAAATTAATTTTATGTTAAACTGCAGAGTAATATTTGCTTCATTTCATACAAAAATTAGTAAATATTAGAAAAATAAGTAGCCAAACCAAGTTTAATCTTGTGTCTCGGTAGAGCCTCTAATACCATGATAAAGTATAGTATATTTATTTCTTCATTAAACCATTCAAAGCACTCATCTATACGGTGATAGGAGACTCAGTACTAACTTCACAGCACTGCTTTCCTTGAGGGTGTTAACATGCTCCCCACGCATGCAAGCCAACTTTTAAGCAGAGCACTGTGATGGCAGTGCTCCAGAGGTGGAGAAGCAATCCCAGCTGTTTTCAGGTGGGCACTAGAGGACGAAGCTAGAGCTCCAATCAATCTGCAGCTGGTACAGGTAAAGCTCCTTAGTTTGTCTCTGAAAGGAGTCTGAAGTTTAAATGCAGAAAGTGCTACCAGTAGCAGATGTCCTAATATGGCTAGTTACTTACTTTGGCCAGAGCTCTTGGCAAAGGAGTGGCCAGTGTCCACCAACCATTACCAATATAAGCCTGGCACTTCTCTGCAGATCCTCTAGTATATGACTAACTAGTCAACTCCAAAGAAGCATTTAAATATTTTATGAATAGTCACAACAGGCCAAAGGTCTTTCATTACCAAAGTACTCAGACTCGTGGCAAATTTTTTAAAAAGCCACCTACTGATTGCTCCACTGTCTGTTTACATACCTTCTTGGTAGTTGTGTGCGCCATCTGGTAAGGCAAGGAAGGGCAAATACTTCCATTCTTCAGGTAAAGTGTGACTGTCATGTCCATCTCCTGGAATCAGGGGCGGGTAAGAGAATTCAACCTAAAATGGTAAGGAATGTTAGCCAACAGGTTGATGATCAAAGGGAGCATTATATCCTGGCAGACAAAAATGCTTTCAAATTCTGAATGACAGAACTAAGGATAAGCCACACTTCTTGATGCCATTTTCAGCAAACCTATGGTATAGAAGAGGAAAAAGAAAAAGGGAGGAAAGCCACGGAGCAACTAAGCCCGTGTGCCACAACTACTGAGCCCGCGTGCTGCAACTACTGAAGCCCGCGCGCCTAGAGCCCGTGCTCCGCAACAAGAGGAGCCACTGCAATGAGAAGCCCGTGCACCACAACGAAGAGTAGCCCCTGCTCGCCACAACTAGAGAAAGCGCGTGAGCAGCAATGAAGACCCAACACAGCCATAAATAAATACATAAAGTTAAGAAAAAAACCCTAGAAAAAAAGAAAGAAAAAATGAGGGAAAAAAAATTAGTAAGCCTTTTTCCCCTTTTTTATTTAAAGGAGTTTAACTTTGATGTGCACAAGGGTAGTGGGTAGTGGTGGTGGTGACTGGATTGGAGATGTACATGTGGAAGCTGTTATCAAATAGACGGTAATTGAGGACATGGAGCCCTGAGAAAAACCAATATCCTCCTGAACTGAGTAGGAGAGATCCAACAAAGGAGCCTAAGAAGTTGGGCCAAGTTCTAGATTTGCTTCCCATCAATTGGCTCCCTTGCTCCCAATACTTGAAGCTTTGAGTCTATGGTTTCGATGGGTTGTTAGGGAGGTGAATGGGCATTAACCACCACTTTAGGTTATTTTTTTCCCAAGACTGAGAAGTGATCAATGAAGTCTCTCTAATACTGTTTGTCTTGTAGAAATAACAAAGTTTTTAGTATAAGCCCACGGTTTCTGGCATTCCCTAGGTTTACTAACATTTTCCCTTTGCTTATGGGGTTTCTTTTGTTGTTATTTCAATGAGACTTTTGGAGAGGAAGGCAGAATTAAATGCTGAGGACTTGGGTTATCATACTGATGTAAGTGTCTTATGTTTAATTTTCTTTCAAAGTATATTTAAGCAGGAATTTGCACTGCATTAGTAATAAATACACTGAAGTTGGAAAAACATAGGGATAAGAATCACTTTTAGATTCCATCTTTAATGTGGAAAGACATGATGGCTCATTTCCCCACATCTCAAGGTAATCAAGGTGCCACTAGTCACATGAGAGCCGATTATAAAAGGACTTTAATAATGATTATTTTTAACAGGTGATCTAGTTCTATATTGAAAATGTTTAAATTTCCCTGCGCCCACCTCCAGAAGCAATCAACATTTCAGTTTGAAAGGATCAGTTACTTAACATCAATTAACTGAAGGCTGGGCATAAATAATCTCAAGCTACATTTCACATTTCTCTGTGTCTTCTCTATGACACCAGTTTTATATTGGCTAATCTTAAAAGTGTAAGGGAAGGCAAGGTGTGCCACAGAGGGAAAGACATAAATTCAAAGCCGATGCTATGAAGCTGGTAGTTACAGAGCTAAAAAAAATTCCCAACTCAGAATTCTTATTTTAACAGGGAAAAAAAAAAAAAGAAACAAGAAAATTATTGTATTTTATGTAAACACTAAAGTCCAATATATAACACCTAAGAAGTACTGGTAATTATCACAAAATAATTTCTTTTGGAAAACCACTAATTATTATGTACAGTATTTATTTTAAAAGTATTTAGTATGGAATAAACATGCTTCTAAATAAATATAAACATAATGGACTCAAATTCTCACAAATACTTCATGAAGTATGTTGCTCTCTAGGATCCAAAAAGTTTGCCAACTAAAACTTATCACTTGCAATCTGCCTCTACAAGGATTAGGTCACTAGCCACTGCAGTCACTGACCTTCAACACACCCTGAAAGGAGTTCAGGGAGGAGATCAGGAATGAGGCACTCTGTGCTCTGGGAAAAACTGGCAGAACGGGCCTTCAGAGAGTTAGATCTTTTCAGAAGATTTGAGCCCAATTTCTTGCATCTTCTCATATCTAGACAAGCACTAAAATCATTAACGGAGACATCTGCTCCTCGTGACTAGCAGCAACCCTCTGCCAAAATGTGTGCTTGATTGCACACATCCCCTTCACCAACTCACACGTATACTGGGACTTCCATGGTGCTACAGCGGTTAAGTATTTGCCTTCAGGGCTTCCCCGGTGGCGCAGTGGTTAGGAATCTGCCTGCCAATGCAGGGGACACGGGTTCGAGCCCTGGTCCGGGAGGATCCCACATGCCGCAGAGCAACTAAGCCCGTGCGCCACAACTACTGAGCCTGCACTCTGGAGCCCGTGTGCCACAACTGCTGAGGCCTGTGCACCTAGAGCCCATACTCTGCAGGGAGAGGCCACCGCAATGAGAAGCCTGCTCGCCGCAACTAGAGAAAGCCCGTGGACAGCAACGAGGACCCAACGCAGCCAAAAGTAAAATAAATAAATAAAATAATAATAATAATAGATTTAGGGTATTTCCTTAAAAAAAAGAATCTACCTTCCAATGCAGGCAATGCAGGTTCGATCCCTGGTTGGGGAACTAAGATCCCACATGTCGAGGGGCAACTAAGCCTGTGTGCCACAACTACTGAGCCCACACGCCGCAATGAAGACCCAGTGCAGCCATAAATAAACAAAATCTCCATAAAACAAAAAATCACAGGTATACTAACCTCTCCTGCTACTTCTTCAGAGCAGTTCCTCAGAGGTTTCTGAGAGGCTATCTCCTGGGCTATAGTCCTCATTTTGCCCCAAATAAAACTTAACTCACAACTCTCATGTTGTGTGGTTTTTTTTTTTGTATTCATTTGACAAGTTTAATCTAGAAAATGCCAAAATAAAGTAGTATGACAACACTCAACCTCCCATTTAATATTTATTTATTTATTTTGGCTGCGCCAGGTCTTAGTTGCAGCAGGTGGGATCTTCATTGGGGCATGCGGACTTCTTAGTTGCAGCATGTGAACTCTTAGTTGCAGCATGCGTGTGGGATCTAGTTCCTCAATCAGGGCTCAAACCCAGGCCCCCTGCATTGGGAGCGTGGAGTCTTACCCACTGGACCACCAGGGAAGTCCCTCAATCTCTTATTTAAACAGGGAAATGCAATTTGAAACAATAAAGTTTTTACTCATATATTTAAAAACATGAAAAAGATTATTCATATTTTGTGTTGACAAGAGTATGGGGCTCGGCTGTGGGACTGTAAATTGGTACAGCAGTTTGGATGACTACTTGGCAGTATTATCAAATCAACAATACACTGACTCAGAAATTTCAGTTTTAGAAATTTATCCCACGAATACACAGATATTCACACAGATAAGTACAAAAATACTCACAGAAACATGACTTATTGAAGCATAAAAATCGGAAACCTAAATATTCATCAGAAGATTGGTCAAATAAATTTTACATCAGTTCTATCCAGCTGTAAAAGAATCGTAGATTTATAATATATTGATAAAGCAAGATAGGTATGGTATACTATATAGTTGGTAAAATAAGAGCCCTCCAGACGTGTCCATCTCCTAATCCCTAGAATCGGTCAATGTTACCTTACAATGCAAAAGGACATTGCACATAAGATTATCTCCAGATGGGGATTATCCAGGCGGTCCCAATGTAATCACAAGGGTCCTTATAAGAGAGAGGCAGAAGAGACAGAGTCAGAGATATTTGAAGATGCTATGCTTCAAGATGCTTTGAAGATGGACGAAGGGACCATGAGCTAAGGAATGCAGGCGACCTCTAGAAGCTGGAAAAGGCAAGAAAACTGATTCTCCCTTAGAGCATCCTGAAGAAACGCAGAGCTGCCAACACCCTGATTTTAGCCTAGTGAAACCCATTTCTGACTTCCAGAACGCTAATAAATTTGTGTTGTTTTAAGTGTGTTGTTTGTGGTAACAGAAGCAATAGAAAATTAATACATACTGTTAAATTTAAGAAGCAAGCAGGATATCAGTAAATATAGTATAATCCTACTTATACTGTGATTCCATTTATGCTAACAATTATACATCTTTGTAAATGGATTAAAAAACATGCTTGAAAAAACCTTTAATAGAGGTTTTTATCTCTGGAGAGGTGAAAAGAGTTGGGGATTAGAGCTAAAGGAATATTCCTGTTAATTTTTTCCATCTTTTTTTTTTAATTTCAAACTTACAGAAAATTTAGAATTCAAAAATCTTGTAACTTTCATCTATATTCACAAACTAATTTTTTTGCCATATGTGCTTTGTGTTGCACGTGTATACAAATACTTTCTAAACCATTTGACAATAAGTTGAAGATATTATCATTTACTTTTAAGTAAATTGGTATTTATTTTTAAATGACTGCTTTTTAAAAATTAATTAATTTACTTTTGGCTGTGCTGGGTCTTCGTTGCTGTGCGCGGGCTTTCTCTAGCTGTGGTGAGCAGAGGCTACTCTTCCTTGCCGTGCACGGGCTTCAGTAGTTGTGGTGGCTTAGTTGCTCTGCAGCATGTGGGATCTTCCCAGACCAGGAATCGAACCTGTGTCCCCTGCATTGGCAGGTGGATTCTTAACCACTGTGCCACCAGGGAAGTCCCTAAATGATTGCTTAAAAAAAAAAATTTTTTTTGACGTGGACAATTTTTAAAGTCTTTATTGAATTTGTTACAATATTGCTTCTGTTTTATGTTTTGGTTTTTTGGCCATGAGGCATGTGGGATCTTAGCTCGGACCAGGAATGGAGCCAACCCGCAGTCCCTGAGAAATCTTAACCACTGGACTGCCAGGGAAGTCCCTAAATGACTGCTTTTAGAATAATTTTAAAAAAAGCAAATGATAACCACAAGCAGTTCCTAACTTCTGAAGGAAGTATTTCCATCCTATCCTTTTGGAGGCAAAGGGACATGGAGAGATCTATTTCCTTTTCGGAAGGTTTAGTTATCAAATTACCAAAGGCCAGAGTCTAATATCTGATGCTATGTTATGTTCAATATATGATCCTGATTCTGTTAAAGGAAGATCTG